TTTTTGGTCGTAGTCTGCAGGTATATTTCAATGTTTTGTCTAATACTGCGGTAAACGTCATCCACGACGATGTGGTAACGGTCGCAGTGCCCAAGTTTGTGCATAAGGTGTTCCAGTTGGCATTTTTACGTTTCCTACACCGTGAATGCTAGGCCGTGGCCCGAATTGTGCTCACAGCACTTATGACGTTTACACTGCTAACGTCGGGTCCGATTAACGTGAGCGCGCCAAAGTCTGTTTGCAGTGTTAATAATTCGGACCACTTGTGAGTGTGCTTACGAATTCCACAAGTTAAACATAACCTAACAATGCATTTTTTGAAATAAACATGAGTGGAGTATGTGGTGTAGCTGATGTAGATCGGAAAATGCTTGTATTTCTAGCATTTTCTGCTAGAAATACAAGTGGAAAAGTGACGAGAGTGATATCGATGTGGAAGATATATTAGATCTTTCGTCATCATCGAGTAGCTCCGACGATGAACTGGTTAACACAATTCTCGTGTTAAACAAGAAGCGAGGAAAATTAGAGCTTAGACCTCGTATTCAAGGTAATGTCGAAGAAACGATTCCCAGATTTTCTATCTCGCCAGTTTCTTCAATCGACACGGAAAAACTCACTGACATTTTAATTAATTTTATTTCGGACGCTTGAATTCACAGAAATAAAACACTCGATAATTCAAATAAATGGTGCAAAATAACGTCAATGTTCACAGTGCTAACGATCTGATCCGTGAGAACTGTGAGCACTACGGTGTGACGTCATAGCGTTCACAACGCTAACGGTGAGCGTGAAAAGCACGAATCGGACCGAGCGTTGGTACGCTATGAGCGCTGTGAGCGTGATTCGGACCACGGCCCTAATGGTTGCGTTGACGAGCTAGGAAATGTACTGCACGCCAAGCTCTCCGTTTTCAGAGTCAGTGGGCGTTACAATGCGTGATTGATACTCAAAATGCCTGACATCGTGGTCATCATGGTAGTAGTAGGTTTTTTCCAACAGTTAATCCTTTGTAATGTATAATTTCAATTTAATGTCATATACATACATTCTGATAGTGGGTAACAATGTGTAATAGGTACTTAATAAACACCTATTTAATAAATATGAATAAATGCAGAAATATGTATACAGGTAGCACATTTTAATGTTCACTTCCATGACCGATAGCATTTGGTTAATTGAGCTCAATATTTTTACTTAATGATCTCATCTATTTTGATCTCTCCTTTTTGTTTCTTGAAACTTCCAACTTTGGAGGCCTACCTGTCAATATTGCTCTAGCGTCAGCATGTAAACTTCTGCAAACGACTCAATATTTTTGATAGTTTCGATTTTCTTATTGATGTTACATTTGTGTTCTAACATGAATTTTGATTGATTAACTTCAGCAAAATTAAGAAGTTGTTTAGGTTTAATTTAAATTTTGACAGTTGCACCTGGTTCTCTGCTGATATTCATTATCATTCAAGGTATTTTCCAACATTTCACTTGATGTAGGCAACACTGTTATTTGCTTGCATTGATTTGGTAAACTCATTATTGTAAACTCATTATTTTTAACTAAATCAATATTTTCCTCTATTCCTAAGAAAGAATTGTCGACTCTAGTATTAAAAGCTAATGTTGTTAATTTAAAGCTAATGTTGCTAATTTAAAGCTAATGTTGCTAACTCAACTCGGTCTTGGAAATTGAAATCAGGGGTATGTAATAAATTCACAACACTGTAGTAAACTGCGCACAAATGTTGACAAAATTGGCCCCCTGCTCCATATGGACAATCACATTGTTCTGTTTGAAAGTGTGCAACAAATGTTCGTTCCAATGATGAATTAACAGTAAATTCAAAATCGTTTACTCAAGCAGCATCTACTATCTAGTGAACGGAGTATTTGGCACTCAGTACATTTCCTCAGCCACGAAAGCCTTAACCAATTCATCAAATGGTAAGACTAATCGAATCTTTTCTAGCTGACTGTCGATGCCGCTGCAGAGTAGGACAAGAACTCTCCACCATGCGATTACTAGAAGCAGTGGTCCTACAAGGTGCATTTCTTTCGCCACACCTCTTTTCGGTATACACAACAGACGTGCCCAAGCCTGAGAACAACTTTAACAAGCTGGCACTCTACGCGGACGACACAACTCTACTGGCGAGATCAACCAACCATGCGCAAGTTACCAGATACTTACAACAGGAGGCGGACAAATTAGAGAAATGGGCCAACCTTTGGAGATCAGCATAAACCCTGACGAGAGTCAGACAATACTGTTCACCCGGAGGATGGTACACCCGGAAGGAAACATCAGCTTGCAAAACGATCCTTTTTGATAGCGGTTATGGCTACTTGATGTCGGTGTTCACATTGCTGGTAGGATAGATAGGAGTTCAATTCGGTTGTTGGTGCAGGATGATTGGCAGGTTAACGACAAATCGCGAAATATTGTAAATATTTTAGTAATGTATACACTTTACTTGATCCATCCCAAATACTTGATGACTCCTCAATCAATATGTGCTGAATTTTTATGAATTAGATACATTAAAAAGGCATTTTTTACCTTCGAACAGACTACATTCTATTTCCTTGAGCAGCAGAGCAATAAATCATTTTCAAGTTACAGTTTGACAGTGAATGTTGTATGATTCGATGTAACAAATCTCAAAGGACTCTTTCAATTTGTATGGAACACATGCATTGATTGATTGACAATATATTTATTGTTTATGAATAGAATTCTTGGTACAAACACAATGTCATAAATAAAAATTAATATAAACATAAAGTATGAGATGTGAAGTATAAATATATGAAATGTAAATGATTAAAATAAAATATAAAAATATACAATGGTATGTAATAAATTCACAACACTGTAGTAAACTGCGCACAAATGTTTACAAAATTTGCCCCCTGCTCCATATGGACAATCACATTGTTCTTTTTGAAAGTTTGCAGTGTGCAACAAATGTTCGTTCTAATGATGAATTAACAGTATATTCAAAATCGTTTACTCAAGCAGCATCCACTATCTAGTGAACGGAGTGTTTGGCAGTCAGTACATTTCCTAGATCGTCAGCGCAGCAAGTAGCGTTCACGGTGTAGGAAACGTAAAAATGCTTCCCGTTGATCCACATGTATTAACTTCGATGCTGATATGAATCGAATGAAGATTGTACTCGTAACAATGAAACTCTCGGTCGCGAAAGCCTTAACCAATTCATCAAATGGTAAGACTAATCGAATCTTTTCTAGCTGACCATCGATGCCGCTGCAGAGTAGGACAAGAACTCTCCACCATGCGATTACTGGAAGCAGGGGTCCCACAAGGTGCTTTCTTTTCGCCACACCTCTTTTCGGTATACACAGCAGACGTGCCCAAGCCTGAGAACAACTTTAACAAGCTGGCACTCTACGCGGACGACACAGCTCTACTGGCGAGATCAACCAACCATGCGCAAGTTACCAGATACTTACAACAGGAGGCGGACAGATTAGAAGAATGGGCCAACCTTTGGAGATCAGCATAAACCCTGACGAGAGTCAGACAATACTGTTCACCCGGAGGATGGTACACCCGGAAGGAAACAGCAGCTTCAACGGATAAGAAATTCCGTGGACCAACGAAGCGAAATACCAGGAAGTCACTCTCGACAGAAGACTAACGTTCAGGACACACGTTTGGCAGAGAATAGGGCTGGCGAGAGCCTACAGACAAAACCTATATCCAATTATAGGTGTGCCTGCACTGCATTGGGCCAGTGCGCCGCGATATACAGACGCAGTATCCAAACTTTCATGAACGTGTTCGAAAGAGTTCCACCACACAACAGTCCAGCACTACGCTCAACAGGGAAGACCCAAGATTCCGAAAGAGGCAAACACAAGAGGCCAACTAAGCAAAATCAGAGATCATCCCCGAGAGTCGATATCAGGCGGCTTCGGTAAGTATAAAAACTTCTTAACCAGATACAAATTCATTTTTTTTTCAGATTCACTGGGAAACACTTGCTCGCGTTCAAAAGACACTCGCCTCCGGTTAGTTTTTGGAGGATCCATGCGTTAAATCACATTCAAGTAAAGTAACGATTAATAAAATACTAGATAATGAAGTAAAAGCACCTGAAGGCTGGCTTTCGACTGCAGTAGGTCAGATGTAAATCTTGCTGAAGTGCCCATCAATAAGTTGAGGACCGCTCCGGAGGAGTGGGGTTGGATGGATGAGATGGGATGTTCTGCTCACAGTAACCTTGTGGTAAAGATCTCAACTCAGGGTACTCAACCCGGGAAGGGGCATGGGGGGAAATTTCTATTGCCTCTCTATATACTCTTGGATAATAATTTGGGTTTTATCGAGTATCACTGTATCTAGGAATGAGATAATGCGAGTACCTTCTTTGTTAAGAGCATGCTCATCTACAGCTGATTTGTCCGGTTTGCCCGAGTCGAAAATGTCTCTTGTGTTCAGACTTCTTTTCGTGGTTCCAATGTAGACCGATCCGCTGCTACAAAGATTCCAATATACCCTAGGTATTGGTAAAGGTTCTCTGGGGTCCTGGGTCGTCCTTAGACTTTGTCTGATAGTTTTTGTTGGCCTGAATATTGGTTTCACGTCATGTTTCTTCAAGATTCTCCGAATCCGGTCTCTAATATTTTCAACATAGGGAAGGAGAGCTTTTCCTGCGACCAGCTTAGTTGGGATTGCTTTAGCATTATCTTTCCTAGGTCGTATGACCCGCTCGAATTCTCCTACGTTGTGCTCATTCTATTTGAAGGCATTTTTTAGGTGAATGAGTTCCAAAGGGTTCACAGATACGTCATACTCTCTCAACCAACGTTTTAATTATCCCTCTCTTTTATTGTGACTGGTGGTTAAGGTTTATCAGTATACATTCACGCATATTTATTGAAGAGATTACACCAAAGTTGATCAACCTCTTCTAAATAGTTGTTTCCAAATATATTTATCTTAAAAACTAATTCAATTTTAAATTTTAATGCAACAACTTTATTAAAAATCAGAATAAAAATGTAATATATAAAATTCAAACATAACGATTCAGTAAAAAATAACCCGATCTGAACGAAATTTTAAGCTAGAGTAGCCTTTGCCATCTTGAAATCTTCAATGGTTGAACCTGTTTGAAATTTCGCATATCTGAAAATAAAATGATGAAGAACTAACAGATTTTGCGAAATATAAATTGCTTTTTCTTACATTCTTTCATATTTCAACCTCTCCTGCTGAGGTAGTGATGGTTTAGTTTTAGCCAGCGCTTCTAGCAGGTGTTTTTGTGTTATTTTTGACTCCAATTCTGCGGACATAACCTAAAAATAATTTTATCAGAATATAAATCCACAATACTACCAACCACTAAACCTCAACATCAATACGTCAAGGTAAAAACTCAAAATTGATTGTTGTTTTTAAAAGAATCGGATATATTCGAGTAACAAAGTTTAGAAAATCGCAAAATGTGTTTAATTTTATAGTAGTTTCTTCATCAGGCGTGATCATACTAACCAAATTCCACCAAGTGTTCTACTCTACATTTTTGTCAAGTAGAAACTGGATACCGGAATTTAAAATGTTCTGAATATTTATGAGTACTTTTCGTTCATGCAATATAGAAAACATTTCTGTATCATCTTTTTTCTTTCGTCCTCATTTTTTCATTTTCATCCTCACTATATGTCGTAAGAAAACCGTCATGTACTTTTGAAAATCAACCATCGTTGATAAATATTTCATCGGGTATTTCTCATCTGTAATTGTTATTGAATAAAAGAAACTTACAAAATTGTAAACGATATTTTGCATAGTTCTTTATCGTTTTATTTATTATTCGCGTCATTGATAGTGTAGGCAACTGATCGCCAGTGAAAGCATACTGTAACGAATATAAAGCCGCCCCTGACCGATATGTCGGCGAGCGAACAAACACATGACGTCACCGCAAAAAGAATGCAGTCGAAAACCACCGGTAAAGCTCTAGTCGAGTATCGAACCGACTACAGATTTCTAGAATGAACCGTTACACTATATAAGCCCGGCTTCCCGACTTAAGGGGGAGTTCAGAAAGTGAATCGAGCGGTTAAACAAGGAATTCAAATAGTAGAAATAAATTAAGTGTTAGTTGCTAAGTGTTGTAAATAAATTAGTTTGTGATTAGTGAAATATTGTTAGAAATAAATTTGTTTGAGACAATAAATTCGTTAATTTGTTACAATACCATGCGATTCCTATTTTACAGGTGACACTATAAGTAATATTGAAATGGGTCCAACTGTGGATCCTTGTGGGTTGTCTGGTTGATCGCGGTTAATTATTTATCCTTTTCTGTAGACATCAGCAATCATTCAGCGAGATTACGTTGATTACGCGAAAATAAGCTGTCGGCGAGATGCGAACGGGGAAAAGCTCGCGTTAAAGACTGCTTACAGTTGAAACAAAGTTCCAACAAGAACTATATAGCGATCATAATTGCCGCAGTCATTAAGCGTCTTCATTAAGGGTGACTTGGGCGACAACTCGCGAGTATCAAGCAAAGATAAGGTGAAACATTTCTGAGGTTGATGGAGTTTTCATCTGGTGGAGTACGCAAGAGTTCTTGAGAATAACGGAATAAGGAAACCCGATCGTAGGTTAATAATGAAATCCTAGATGAAGGGTGCTGCAAAAAAGATTCCAATTAAAATCATAAGTCATAATAGTGTCACAGAATCAAGTTGCTAATTAGACCCCCAGAAAACATGTGAACCTAGTTGAAAGAAAAAAGTCAAATATAAAAGAATAATATGTAACACGGGTTACAAATGAAAAAGCAAATAAAAAAATTTACGCATGTACGAGAAGAGTACAAAAAAATTTTGACCTAATATTCGGAATAGTTTACGTAAATTTTGCTAGTATAGAGTTGTACATAGAAGTTTCAATATTGGAAAATCATTTTGGAAATAATGCGTTGGTGTCTTTTGAATGCACGATTAGTACATCGTGGATGTCACAGTTTTTAATAGGTACACCGCATAAATGCGAACTGTTTTATTGACTTACATGGACAATTGTCTTGACTGACATGGACATATGAACTGGACATATTTGACTGAAATGAACATATGGACTGGCATTGTCATATGCACTGGCATTGTCATATGGACTGGCATTGTCATGAGGGCTGGCATGGACATATTTAACTAACATGAACATATTTGAATGTCATTGAAATATGGACATATTTGACCAACACGCACATATTAACTGGCATGGACATAGTTGACTGGCATGTACATATTTGACTGACAAGGACGTATTTGACTGACATGGACATATTTGACTGACATGAACATATGGACTGCCATGGACGTATTCGACTAATAAGGACATATTTAACCGACATGTACATATGGAAATATTTGATTTACATGGACTTGCTTGGATATATTTGACTGACACGGACATATGGACTGGCATGGACATATTTGACTTGACATGGACATATTTGACTGGCATGGACATATGGACCTATTTGTCTGAAATGGATATATGGACTGGCATGGAAATATTTGTCTTCAATGGACATATTGGCATATCCGACTGACACAGACATATGAAATGACATTGTCATGTGGACTGACATGGACATGTTTGACTGACACGGACATATGGTTTGGCATGGACATATTTGACTAACATGGACATATGGACTGCCATGAACATGTGGACGGGTATGGTCATATGGTTTTAACATCGCAGATCGGCAGTTACCCGGAAATGAAATGAATAAAGAGAGAGGGTGAATCTAGTTTAGCTTTGTAACGGCCACCTTGTCGATACCATAAATAGTATATTCGTAAAGGAAGATGTTACCGACCGTTCCTGAATTCATGTAGTTGATCCTGTTACCGAAAGATCTAAATTAGTGAAGATGGCGACTGCATTAAGGTTATACCCAAACAAGTTTCAATCTGCTCTTACAATAATCACCATGGTTGATGATTCAAATTTTTGTGTTCGTATATATCTGCAAATTGTCATAAATTTTCAGCATAATAGAGAATAGGTCGATCCGAAGTGGTCATCCTACTGTAATCTAGGACAAGGATTTTGGATCGAAGACACTCACATGCATGGTTTTGAACACTTTCTCAAAAATAAAGAAACATCCCTATTCTTGGAGTTTAGTGGGTGAAAAACTGCATTAAACCATAAAGCAGAACAACACTAAATATTCCACAAACAGTTGAAATAACAAGCGTTTCTGAAATATTGTTTTCAGTCTGTTAATTATGGTTCCTAAAGCATTTTCTATGGGTTACTAATTGAGACATGAAACATTCTTTGTCGCTGTTGATCAAAATGCCGCATTTAACAATTCATTTCAATCAAATTTCACCAAGAAAGGTCTTCAATTTATGTGTGCATTACATTTAAAACGTAACCCTCTTTTCTCTCCGTCTCTCTTCCAGTGGAAATTGCCTTTTGTCGAAGAGCATTATCAATTAATCAAGTTAATTAACGCCTTTTCTCAACCATTTTGAATAACTTCCATCATAATAAATTATTTACCGGTAGATTTGTTAAACCCCACATATCTCTTACGAGGATTCTTCTCAATTAAATTCGCGATATTCTTGAACAACGTTCAATGTCATTATGTAAAATATTCAGGATGGAAATTTCAAAATGCTCTTTCAATATACCACAAAAAAATGCTGGAATTGGTGCTTTGATTGGCTGATTTCCATATACTCGTAATAATAGTCACTCTGGAGAAATGAGAAGAAGGGAGCTCGATAGACACGTTTCTTGAAAATAGAAGTTAAACCTTTCAAGATCGTGTCTTTCTTTAATTTATTCAAGAAACATTTGGACGTAGCTTACAGAGCAAATAATATTATAGGCTAATTTATTAAGAACAGATAAAACTTCAGTGTTGGATAGATCAAAAGTGTATGAGTTGACTTGCGGCTCCCTATTTTCTGAGTTTTTTTTTCCTGTAATCTACTTCCATCTTTGTACATCGTTGGTGTCGACTGTAATGGTCTTTAGCCTCGTGTCCTGAGTATACAACGTGAATAACTTCCCGAGCCACCTAAGAAGCCAACTATGGTTCAAAAATGTTCCGTTACAAAAAGAAGTGTTGAAATTTCATGAAAAAAATTAAAATTATTTAATATTTCCGATTTAAAAGTATATATTTTTCAATAAAAAATAATTTTCAACCTCAACAGTATAGTGGTACGGGAAGTGACTCCAATATATTTGAGGAAAATAATGATTCACCGGTGGATAAGTTGTTTATATGTTTGATTTTTCTACAAGCAAATGTTATTTTGTGTGCTCGATATTCATTTCATTCATTTTATAGATAATTTCTAGTCTTATTGCGTGTATGTTGAATAAATTATAATCATTTCTTCTTCATTAACTTATACTAACCTGTTCTTCATCAAAAATGTGATCAATAGTTGATAGTTGAGCTGTATACATGAGAGATTGTAAGTCAGCGCCTGAGAAAAACTCAGTGGCAAAAGCAATTTCCTCCAAGTTTACATCCGACACCAAATCCAGGTTCTTTGACAAGATTTGTAAAATTTCCAATCGACTATCCTAAAACACAATCATTAACATAACAATCATTTATGAAGGAAAAAAAATACCAATTTACCACGCATTTGTCAATGATAGTGTTAATGAGTGAATTGTCTTAGAATAATCATGTTTCAAACCTTATCGGGTAGAGGGCAGAGCAGTTGTTTGTCCAATCTACCTGGTCTGAGAAGAGCGGGATCCAGCAAGTCCGGCCTCGAAGTAGCTGCCAAAACGCAAACTCCTGTCAAGGATTCAACTCCATCTAGTTGAGTAAGTAGCTGATTCACTACTCTGTCGGTCACCCCTGTATTATCATGACCACGCCTGTGGGGTAATGAAGTTACGCGGTAGTATTTTTTTTGTAAAACTAATGAGTATACTCACCTTGGAGCCAAACTGTCAAACTCGTCGAAAAACAAAATGCACGGTTTCACGCTTTGTGCTCTGCAAAATACTGAAAATTAGTTTACAAAGATAACTCACACAAATCAGGTGGAGAAAAATGAAAGTGACATGCTAATAANCAACAACTCTGGTCCTTTCACCGAAATGAGTCTTAAACCGCATTGTTTTGCGGCTGCTGCAGCTAACAAAGTTTTTCCTGTGCCGGGCGGTCCATATAACAGTAGGCCTGATTGAAGACGGAGAGGTGCTTTAGAGAAAATTCCTGGATACTGAAATGGAAAACCTATGCATGAAAATCCTTAAAACGTTCAACGGAATTGAAGATAGCTGAAACTCATCTTACCTGAGCAGGCCAGAGTAGATTTTCTACAAGAACTTTCTTTATATCATGGAGACCTCCAATGTGAGAAAAGTCATTGTCACCAGGGGAATGTAAGTGGACGTTTTGCAAGGAGAGGACGCAGGTATTTTTCAGTGCTTTATCACAATGAGTTTTGGTTATAATGATCGAACTATTCTCATCGAGTTCTGAAAAATAACTGGATTTAAAAAAGGGATTTTGAAAAAGTAATGAATCAAATTTGATGAATCAGGTAACCAAAGAATCACTTTTGTGACACCTTTGAAGCAATCACGGTTGACCAGATTCATAACCCACTAACCCGAGGCCAATGACGAATAAGCAAATTTAGTAAGCCTACTTGAAAATATGTTAACAATCGTCAAACATTTTTTTGCAGTTTGTTTTGAAATATAGAGCAAATCAAAGCAAATTTTATACATCTCTGTGGAATAGTTCGCAGAACACGGGACTCGTTTACTAAACATCAAATCCCACTGAGGGACAACAGTTGTTAGTTTTTTCGACCACCTAATTTAATATACTAACAATAAACATATTCAATTAAAAATATCTAATGATACAAACGTCAATAAACAAATGCCACCTAATAATAACAATTTAATGATTTTAATATCAAATCCATAATATCAGTTACAAGAGTCAATTCTTCATTTAAAGCGTGGATTTTACCTCCTGGAAGTGTTGTATTTTTTTCACATATACATATCTATTCATTTGTAAAAGTTACCTTTGTGTATTCATCAATCGTATAAACGTTTTTGAACAGGTGGCTCCCTCTTGACGAGAACAAGTTCTTATTCAATTTGTCAGTTGACTCAGCAGTGGCGCAGATTCCTATTCGATTTGAATTTGAGAACAATTTGAAAAGGTTGTGAAGCATTTCACTTATCCTGAAATAAAAATACTCGTATTTTGAAATTTCATCCTCACTGTCTTGATTAACGGGGTTTTCAGTGATATTAAAAAAAACTGACAGCAAAAAACTCTGGACATGTCGATATAGTTGACAAAATTTCGAAAAACGGAAGAAAAATATGGCTTCGACAATTACGCTCAAATATATACCTGAATGGAAGGAAAACCAAAAAATGTTGATAATGGATACGCGATACAAAACATTTAGTTTGCATTGTATGGAAGTTGTTTCAAAGGAAAAGCAGTTAGAAGACGTATCAATTCATTTGGTGGTTTTACTTCTCAAAATGATGACCCAGAATATGAAAAACACTTCGAATTCTTCAGCAAAGCACTTAGCATAATAGTTCTTCAACAATTGTGTGAATATTATCTTTAATAAACAATTTTTTATCAGAAAAAGTTTTGAAATCGGTGAGTAAACATCTCATAACAATATATACATGAAAAGAACAACAGAAAATGATAAGCGTAAGAAGTCCAATAGTAAGCATAAAATCGACTAAGTTCCATTCAAAACAAGGTAGCCTGAAATCAAAACTGTTAGATTCACAATACGAAACATCTCTCATCCAAGAAGACATTCTTCAACGCCAAGAAGAATATGTAATACAAAGTATTGAACTTTATTTCACTTACTTTACCTAAGATAGATAACGAGTTTCGACAGCACAGCGCGATCTTTTGTAACCCATGAAAACCAATAGAACAGCGCCAGTTGGCGTCCGGACACGAGATGGCGTAATTAGCGTCACACGTGACTCGCATGGCACAGTGGTTGAGACACAGTTTTTCGTACCAATTACTTCGCGTGTCGTTTTGTTTTTTGTTGTTGTTTATTTTTCAAATTCAAAGTTATAGTTGAGGAAAAGTTAATTGTGACTGTGATGGCATACAAAGAACTTGCAGGGGGATTCTACTTAATTATTAACGAGCAAACAATAAAGCAAAAGTTCATCTTCGGCATCATTGTCGGATTTTGATTCCGAAGTCAATAAAAGCAATGATTTTTCAACTCGGTCGCACACAGTAAGATTGTCAATTCGAAACTGCGTTCAATTTGCGGATCATCCACGCTACGCGTGTTCCAGGATGGCCAAATGAGGAGATGACATGCAAAAAGACTTAGATTATAATTCAAGTAAGAATACAGTTGGAAATATGAAATCAGTGTTTTTATCAAGCGATGTTATCGTCTCCAGAAACCAAAAAAAAAAACAACTTTTGCACCTAAATCAAGATATGCATGGGGTTCAAAACTTAACAATTGATTTTCTTTAAGGTTTGAGACTGAATATTAAATTTTTTACCTGTTGAAATATACAGCATTTGGAGCAGTATTGTCGCCAGCAACATTTTCGCACAAAACCTCTAAATCATCAAGAATCATCACTGAGGGCTGATGAAGAAGTAGCTCTGAGAAATCTGTGTAAAATGATTTCAGCAATGACTCCATTGTTTTTCCCTTAAAGGTTTTACACTTTATAGTTTTAGTATAAACATTCAGTGGAAATAACTGTAATTTCCTTGCTATATATTTTGAAAGTGCGGATTTTCCAGTTCCAGGTTTACCTGTAAAATTAATTTTCAGTTAATTTGAAAATAACAGTAAAACAAATTTAAAATTTTATTGTATTGATTGGGTATCAAAAAATAGTCGAAATATTTCAATCTTCACATGTTAAGATTGTAATACATTCTATATTGGCAAAACATCAGAAAATTCAATATGACGAATGATTTCTCCTCAAAATATCAGGAGAAATATAAATTTTTATTCATTATCTGAATACTTTAAATTTTATGTACAGAAATTAATATACTTTTCAGACTGAGAATTTACGTAAAAAAATATTAAATACACTTTTTAGAGATGGTACATATGATTAATGAGGAAATGTTGATAATCAAAATCTGATTTGGACAATCTTAGTCAGATATTTTATGCACGTATTGTTCTTAAATATCATAAAGAAAAAGAAACATTCCAATCACCCTCTAATTGAAATTTTAATCTTAATTACTGATACTGTCATCGTTATATCGTTTACCAGTGTCTCCAATTTTCAATTATTCTCATGTTAATAAGTATATTTCTCTTTTCAATAATAATAAGTCATACCAAAACCTTAATAATTTGTTTTTCAACCCAAGCCCTGCAAATGAATGCGATTCTAGGGAAAAATAGAAATTACGGTGACTTCTACATATAAAAAACCTTATTGTGAGAAACATTATAATAAACAAAAAGGTAATAACACATTTTGTGGATATTGAGAAATTTTTGTCAACTTTCAACTGTTATTATGTTATTATATTATGTCATTGAAGATTATTTCCAGAAATATTCCTAGCTGAATGCATCGATATAAAAAAATCAATATTCAAATGACACATAGATGTCAGTTTTATGCTGAAACTGTTTTTGGTGGATAGGCCTTTGTCATCATTTTATAAAGCTTCGAAAGAAATAATCTTTTGAGGATTTATATTCGATGAATAAGCAGCTACCGCCATCTCTGAAATAATAGCTCAAAATATTGAGATTGTACTCGGCTGGTAAAAAGTAGAAACTAGAAACCAGACTAAACATTTCAGGAAGTATCCTAACCTAAGCAAAACAAAACAAACAAACAAAAGCTGAAATAATTCACATGCTTAGCAATTTGAAACTATGAAGTGATAAATATTGGCTTGAAAGATGAACGGAAAAAAACTGCTAAGCAATTCTAGTGACATGTGTTTTATTCTTCACTAAAAATTCTGAGGCATCCATCAGGGGGTGAGTTGTGCTTTTTGAATTTCATCTAATAAATCATTTTGACAGCACAAATTATAATACAAACAAAGAAAATCTAAAAAACCCACCTGTTATCAGGACATTTTCATAACAATCTTCAGTATTTTCATAAATCCGTAGAACATCCTCAACAATCAACTTCATGTTGGAAATGTTATCTAAAAATGTGTCAAAACTCTTTTCTTCACATTTTTTCTTAGAATCTACAATTTCCATTTCATAATGTATGACATACTTGCAATTTCTCACTAGATCATCATTAACGAGGCAGAACTTTTGTTCATTTGGTGAAAACTTCAAACTACACGATATATTATTTCCAATGTCAATGACCACATTAGCATTCAAGATAGTTGGGGCATCACTGTTTTTTGCTAGGTATTCTTTGATGGTTTCTTCAACATTCACCAAGTAATTTTTTCTAGAATTTACAATTATTTCACTTACAAAAGGAACGTTTTCAATGTACTTCAAAATTACTCTTGCACCCAGTTCACTATCAAAAATCTGAGAAACTTCAGGGCCAACAAACAAATTTTGGCCCAAATTAAACTCAAATTTGTCCAGAATGTCTTCAAATGCTATCAGCCTAGCAAATACCATTTCATTTGCGAATACATCATTCTTCAACAAAGTGAGTGAACAAATTGTTGGTGTTGACAAGGTACTTTCTTTCAACCAGTCTTTGTAGATACATTTTTTTGATATGAATATGTTGAATGGTTGGAGGTATTTTGATATTTGTTCTCCAAAAGGAATTTCTGTTAGCGGCACCAGTCTGCAGATCAAGTCGTATTTTTTATTGAAGTACCTTTGCAAATTAGCAACTTCATTACCTTCTTTCTTGAAAAATGAGTTATAGAATTTCGTTAACCTTTCTTCAAGCAAAAAATTGTTGGGTTTTTCAGATTTTGGAATGTCCAGTGATTTATTTTTCTCAATGTGGCCTGTTGGTTTTATGTGCACTTCTGTTAAGAAATCTATTACACCTGGAGATACTGGTTTAACTTCCTCTAAAACAGAAATGTCACAAATAATATGCAGCAAGATGTACAGAGACCCTGGTGTTTTCAGCAGTTTGTTTTTTTGTCAAATGATCTCGACAAGATTGAAGAGATAGACTCGATTTTATATACATATTGATAGATGATGCAAGAATCGTTTGGCATTGTTGCTATCACATTCAAGTAGCGTTTGGTGTTTCTTAATGAATTACAATCATCTTTGTGTCATTTGGGGGCATTCGGCTATTCTGACAATGACTATAAAACATACATTAATATGCTTAGACCAGAGTGTGTAAATTTGTTCTTTACAGATTGATTGTTAAGGATGTAACAGGCTTTATACTTTCAAAAGATCACCATCTCAATTTTTTCTTATATGAATTATGTTTTCAAATAAGACATTTGCAGAAGTAGTAATAGCAATAGGTCTTTCCAAAAAACGCAAGAAAGTAAAGAAAATAACACAAAGTTATTGATTGATCTGTATTATTTTAAGCTTCCATACTGAAATAGTAAACAAAGTTGAAACATATCTTCAAACTAAGGTGAAGTTTTGAGTTGATTTTGTACGAAAACTGATCTGGATCAAGAATACTATAGTTCGAGGGTTTTTGAAACAATGTTGTTGTAGGAAAGGGGTCCAACTGATTTCACCAGGGTTTCTATTAATCTTGATATGCAGTAATCTAAAAAACAGATTTTGGTAGCATTCTCACCAACATATACGGTAACATGTATATTATTTCCAATCCATATTATGAAACTTTGACTATAGAACACAACTCGAATTTGATTCAGTAGTGTTCCTTGAATATTATCTGATAAAATATCCTAGAAATTAATACAGTTTAAGAAGATTGCTAGAATTGTTACCCAAATGGATAACTCACTATCACATCATAATCATTCTGGCTAACAGGAGAAATAGTAATAGAATTCACAGAAGGTAGTTGTGCTATTTCAGACAAAACAAGTAGACCATTCTCTTTGATTCCCAAAGTTTTTGCAAACAAAGAGTTTAATCCAATACTGTTCTCGTCCATTTCTATGGAAGTTGCTCCAACAGAACAATAGGCTTCTTTATTTTCATCATAAGAAAGTCGTAGGCAAGTCTGATAATCAAATGTTTACATTTCAATGAAGCACAGATAAAATTTCTACTTACCCCAATTTGCAGAAATTTCAAACTAGGGGGTACATAAACGAAGTTATTTTTAACAGGTACATATTTAACAAACAAGGTGCGTTCGAACATTTTTGGTTTATATTTAAAAAAAATTAAAATATATACGATTTTTGTTTACATTTGTTTTTAGGTTATGTCGTGTTTTCGTTTTGGATATGTCTACGTTGCCGGTGTACGACAACGAAAATTTGAATTCTTGAAATGAAAGAAACTGATTTATTTAGTCCGGTTTCAATTAGAAGCGTTTCAGAATAGTCGATTAGCCTAATTTGCGGGAAATATTAAATTTGTTGATTCACCAGCAGTTTTCTAAAATTTAGATCGACGGTGGAAGACAAGGCCGTTTTCAGTATTAAATCATGTGATATTTGGCAATACTCTTTATACATGACGTTCGTTGTACAATACCTAGACATCGCCCACTCCGTACTCCTGACGAATAGCATTCGACTTTGATAAAACCAGCATTCATTCTTTTTCTATCATTTATTGAGGTATTAATAAATGCAAAACAGATACATAAAATATCTACCAGCGTTACCATTTGTAACAAGAAACAATATTATATCTTACAAATTGTTTCTACATACATACAATACACACATTTGTCTGTAAAGGGCAAATTATTTGACATTTCTGTCATTTTTTCTCCCAGATATTAAATACCCAAACTGATTTGAATGAAGATAAGTAATGATCGATCGAGTAGTAGTTATCCTTTCGATTCTGCTAAGTCAGATATTTTATATACTAGATAAATAGACATCGATCTGGTATTATATTTCTAATAACTAGTTTTCGCCAGCAATACTTCCAGCGCCGTGATTTTGAGAAAATTTATTTTGAAATAAACAAAAATTAATCGCTCCTAAAAATATAACTCCTTCAATTCAAACAAACTTGAAATTTCGTGAAAATTACAAAACAAAATGTCACTTTGACAATTATTTGTTTTCCTACGGCACTTTGCGTTAATGGTCCCTTAGAATAAACTATCCTTTCCCACTTCTTAAATACGTCTGTAAAACTCACAAAGTATTTCCAAATTTTTCGTAGTGCACAGGATTTATTTTAGAAGTTTCAATTTATTTCAAATCATAAAACGGTTAAACATTATGTTATCTTTGTATCTTCAGCCTTATATTTGCAAATACATTCGTATTGTTGGATTTAACGTCTATTTCTTTCTAGTTCCGTGTTTCACTTATGTACTTTGACTAGAACTTTCAAATTCATTGCATATCGAGATTTTCTAGAGTATCCAGTACATTTTTTGAGTTTATAATGGTATTGAACTAACATGCGATTTCCGATTTTTTCCAAATTTTTTTTCCCACATTCATTAGACTTCCTTATCGCACTGAGTAGTTATTGGCCTTCGATGATGTTTCCAAAAACCACTAGATTTCATTGAAATACCGTACCTATCAATTCTGTACCTAAAACCCGTACTCTATTATGTGAATCGAAGACTATTTCTGTCCTTAGTACCTGATTGAGGCCATAACTACTCCCTCTCTCTCTCTGTTCATGCTATAAATCGAAGATTCATTTCCATCTCTGACATATAGGTCTTGTTGGAAGTAGAAAGCATCAAATAGTGTTCTATTCCACTAGATTTGCGGTATTCTGATCATGTTTAATAACCGGCTTCGTAAGTTTATCCACTTGCTGTCATAATTTATCAATTCATAGTAACGGAAGAGATCGCTAGGAGTTGTAGCCGTTAAACGTTTCAGCCAATCGCAGAGAGGTAAGAAGCCTTTTGAAACAGAAACTTCTGCAACTGACAAAGCTGAAGGGCTTTTGGCTAACGAAGTTTACATGATAGTTTTACAAAGTTTTACAAAGAACTTCAAATCAATAATCAAATACGTAAACTAAGGTAAGTTTGGAGTTAATTTTGTAAACTACTGTTGAACTTATTTTCGTCAATTTCTATATGGTTAAATGGGGGTTACTTTCATAGGGAAACATGGCTACCATTTAGAGGGTTTTTTCACATTTGGATCAATTGTGTACTTCCAGAGGGATTGTTTTTCTTTCATTTCCAGTTCCTAATATCGTAGTGTGGGTTTTGCGGTAATATATCGGGTTAATTTCATCACGTTTTTGAACCCTAGAAAACGGCGCCAAACACGTAGATACATTCCCTTTAAATACATTGTTTATGTAACGGTTTGGAGTATTAAATTTTCAATTTCTTCAGCACCGGGTATTTCAGGACCGTTAAATTTCAATGTTTGAATTACAGTTTGTTTCAGTGTTGTCACATATTGTTCCTACTCCCAAAGATAATCAAAGTACTAATTATTTTCCAAAATGTGTCAAAGCAGTAGCATTCAGATTTTCAGTGTTCAGTTTTAAAATTCTTGAATGTCGAATTGTGGTTCAAATTATCAGGAGCTTATACGTTTATGTTGGTCCAAACTTTGCATTGGTTCATGTATTGGGTCCTTTCGACTGCCGATCAACTACAATCAAGAAACATGCAATTTAAATGCTTAATTATCGGTAATGACTTGAGCTATGTCAAAAATAATCAGAAGCCTTTTTTCTTGCTACTTTTCTGGGATTTAAACTTTACACAATCTAAATAATGAATAAAACTAAATCTCTAGAGAATCTATTGAGGTGTAATGGAGGGTAAAGTGGATGGTTCGCCCCGAAAAGTTATTGCATATTTAGTATAGAGTCCAATTGGTTAGTATTCATAAATTTTTCCCCAAAAATATAGAAAACAAAGTTCAAATCCCAGATAAGCATTGACAAATATGATTGAATGACTTCACCATGAAAAATATACTTCAAAGAATGCTGTTAGCGTTCTTGGTGGACATGGTTTTTAAAAATGGAAAGTTAACATATGATGCTATCGCACAAAAATAGTGCTTGACCTGGTACTTGTTTTCTTATGCATAAAGGTTTATTAACAATAACACAAGAAGAACATCGATGAGTTTTGCTGATCATACTGGTATTTTTTACCATACCGTTGATTTATGTATTTTAGTCCTTCCTACTTTGAGATTTTGTTCGATGATGATTTAATTTCGGGTTTTCAATAACGTCCTCTGGAGTTCCTCAAGGTAGTGTTCTTGGCCCATTTGTGTTTTCCATATTCACTTTTGACCCACTTAGGGTAATACAAACATGCAATGTTCTCTAAAAGTAAATTATATATGCTTGCACCATTTCTGTATTTTTCAGTCATTAGTATGTTTCACTAAACAGCATAAAAGTAATTTTTCAACTAACTGCGACGGTTGTTTAAAAAAAGGTATGACTATTGATACTAGAAATGCCCCTGATCTGAGATCTGAGAATATCTAGATATTCTAGTTGTTATAAACGTGAAGTAGATTATGCAGCTAATATGGCCTACAAGGACTACACCTGCGGGCATTCAACACAGAGAAAATTTAATAATTTTCAAAAAGGCAGAGTTTCTCAATGAAACATTTGATTACAAATTTATTGAGTGATATGTTATTATCTAAAATTTTAATTATTCCGATGCGCATAAGAATTATAAAGGTATACACATTGTCTTCTTTTTGACATTGTGCTTCTACTTTGTACAGTACAGATTCAAAGTGTAGGGTTAATAGTGTCATTTGAAACAAAATACCTGAAATGAAACCTTATGTGAAACAAAACACTTGTCATCAGAATTTAATTTTGGAGCCTTTGCTCAAATATGATTTAAGTTAGCCAGTGGCCATTGATCAAGTAAAAAGTATCAATTTTTTTGTAGCCTCATGTACCCTATCATAATCTAACTGCTTGAATGAAATGAATAAAAACACTTTTGTCTAAATACCACTGGAAAATTTTTATTTATACGACCAGTTTCGGGTTTGATCCCATTGATGACTTGTTTACTTTATGGTAATTCATGATCAAGATAACAAGTCATCAATGACACATATTAAATAATTCAACTGGCTTGATGAGTTTGAGATCACCTGTAAAAAGTCAGTATGATGAAAACATTTACAAATACCATCAATAATAAAGATATAGAATAACATTGATACACTGTATGAACCTTGAAACACACCTGAATCTATCTTGATTATATTCAGTGTAACACATGTATCTCTAACTTATTGTTCGTTTTGGAAAGTTGTGAATCATGATACGAGGCAGAAAAGACATATAGCTCCGATTTTCTCAGTAAAATATTGTGTTCTACTCTGTCAAAAGCTTGGGAGAAATCAGTATACAACGAATCCATCTGTCCCTTATTATTATTACCATAATTTTGTTGTAAAATAAGCGTATTACTCTATTCATTTGAATAATGTGTCAGCAAATTATGTTCACCTCATGTTTTGATTTGTTTTTAAACAGTTTCATTATTTTTACACTATGCATTTTTGTAAAGCACATTACTATCAGTAGATTGTACCAGAATATATCTTTGGCAAGTATCTCATTAGTTGTTATTTTCAGACAGAGCAGCCATGGCTCCTCTAAAAACACACCCAAACATACTCACAAGTCTTGCGCTAAAAGACATCATCTCAACGAGAAGTAAAGTCCCCATGAACATTCCTCAAATCAAAAACACGAAAGATGTTGTTCGGCCTAAGCGAAAGGCTGATTGTTCTCCATCCAAAGAAAACAGAGGCAACAATAAAAGGAAACCCATGGGTGATCGGGATGTTAATGCCACCGAAATGAAAATAAAAGCTGCTGATGACAAACAGAAAAAAGTTGCACCAGTGAAAAAAGCTACTGTGCAGGTTAGGGCATTACCCTCAGTGAAAACGGTGCAGAAACAAAGGCAGAATGAAAATCTGCCGCCCCCACAAGCACCAGGGCACAAGGTAAGTGATGAGTTAGCACTCCTTACTTTGGTTCTTACTGTGATTGGTTTTAGATTGTAACAAGAGCAGCCGTGAAGAATGTTGTACCAAATCAAACAGCGGTTATACCAAAAGAAGTACTTAAGGAAACAAATGCAATGAAAGTAACTAAACGACTGAGCAATGAGTTTGAAAAGACTGAAGAGACACTATACTGCACTGCACTAGAAGAAGTGTAAGTATTTTTTTTACCGACTTCTTAAAGATATTAACTTCATATGGATCATTCACACATATTTACAGTAGTCGTGTCTAAATTCTTTTAAAGATACACCAGTTTTTTATTGGGTCAAAAATTGGATATATGGTTATTTATGCCTTAAAATTTAGTTTACCAGAAAGAATATAAAATACCGAATTCCCAGAAAAATTCAGAAACATATTTTAAAAAAATGGGGTGTATTCAGCTTTGTAAATATGGAACCATGTATGAAAAAAGCAAGTCATTGGGAAATTTTTGTATTCATAACTAAATGAAACCAATAATTATAATATTAGGGCAAAAAAAGTACAATAGGGTGACAAAAAATTATTAAAAACAAATCCTGCATACATTTTAGTAACGATACCACTACCTACTTCAGTGCCAAGAAACAACATAACCTAAGGTCCTCCAGGGCTTCGGAGTCTCCGCCCTGTGACAAACTGGACGAAAAAGATAAAGAAGGGAATATGACTATGATAGCGAAACAAATAGAAGTGAAACTCAATCTTGGAAATCACGAAGTTCCCGAAGATGTAGAAGATTATGACAAAGAAAACTGGGACGATATCTTCCAGGTTTCACATTATGCCATGGATATTTTCAATTACCTGAAAGATAGAGAGGTGAGTAGCAAATATCACTTTCAATAAGCACCAATGCAGGCAATTATTTTTCATTTCATCAGTTATTAGGCAACATGGAATGTCATATATTGTAAGTTTCATTGACAAGCTCTGTCTCTGAGACTAACTTTTTAAAATTAAAGTGTGAAATTCTGGACATATCTTCTGAGAAAATGTGACTATTTTAAATAATTGACAACTGCTAATTCCTGGATGGGTAAAAAAAAAATATTTCATTGGTATTTTAAAAAAGTAATAACAGAGGTAGTTCTTACTAATAAAACCCTCTAAACGACGAATTATTAGCTCTTTTATAGATTTTACACTGACAAATAAATTATTGAACTTGAATTTGACTTCATTCCTGATTCCTGTTCAAGTGTCAATAAAATTTAGTGGAATAAGAATTGGTGGGACACATAGAGGTAAAGTTTTAAACTCCTTGATCAAACCCAACAATATTAAGTATTCACATTCTTACAACACCAGAAATAAAAATGATATCAAGTTGAACAAGCCCAAACATTCCTATTACAAAAAATCTCCCATCAATGCAGGCTGCCGTCTGCAGTCTTCCGAAAGAAATAAAATACGCGGGATCCCTGGCGGTTTTTAAGTATAGACTTAGGGAACTCCTTATCAGAGAATGTTTCTATACTGTTGATTAATTTGAATTATACTTTTCAATTTTGAGATGATATCGAAGTGTATTTTACATAGTCTATGTTAGTCATCATTGTGCTTGTTTCGTCCTGTTTGTCAATTAAAACTTAATGACACTGTTTTTGACTTATCCTATCTATTGTTAACAATAGTTGAAAGAATTAATAAATATTTTATTTATTTATTCATTTATTTAATACCCAAGCTTATCAGGGGAGTCCTTTTCAACGTTCTCTATAAGTATCAATGACACACTACATAGGGTCTCATTAACGAGTCTACCAATGAAGAGGTTACAACGCATTTCTGTCAACCACCGCTGAAGATGTCCATCAAATTTATGGACGAAACGTTCGGAGTTAATCTTTTGAATTATATATTAATTTCTCTTTCATCAACTATCTAAAAGTCTGAAATAATAATGAATACAAATCTGATTTTATACTCAGAGAAATACTCTGTTTTAACTGAGTGTTGAAATGGCTGGTGAAGAAAAGCACACCCCAATATAAATACAATATACCTAGCCACGACAGATCATACTTATCAAATAGAAAACAAGTTAATAGACCGACCTATTTGAATGGGAATGTCATGAAATCTGATGAATATATTATAAAAAAGAGGGGTTCTGCAAGTGTCAATCCTAGGTCCCTTGCTTTATATAATTTATAGAAACTAATTCCCAAATGGAACACAAGGAAATGTGGTATCATACTAGATAAACCATCATTCAACTGGTGCATTCTACTCTATTGCACTTTCAATAAATTTAACAAAATGATTACAAATGATATAAAAATTGTAGACGTGATAGCAGATTTTTGATAACTGTAAAGAGTTACCTTACTGAAATAAAATCCTGCAATGTTTAGTTGAACAGTGTTGCTGTTTTCCTATGTAACATACCCTCTCGAAATTTTAATATACTTTATTTGCTTTCTTCCGAAGAATCAAAACATATTTCTCTGTCTTTACTTTCATTAAATTTTCAGAGCCAATTTGAAATACCCGACTATATGGACAGGCAGGTCTGCTTGTCACGCTGGATGAGATCCCTCCTCGTCGACTGGATGGTAGAGATCCAAGAAAGCTTTGAGCTCAACCACGAAACGCTCTACCTAGGCGTCAAACTTGTCGACATGTACCTCAGTAAGATGACTGTCGGAAAAGAAACCTTACAACTAGTTGGAGCAGCCGCCATGTTCGTCGCCAGTAAATACGATGAAAGGATACCTCCGCTAATTGATGACTTTTTATATATCTGTGACGGGGCTTACTCGAGGCGAGAGTTGGTCAGGATGGAAGTCAGTGTTTTGAAAGTGTGCGGATTCGATCTCGGGATTCCGATCAGCTACAGGTTTTTGAGACGATATGCCAGGGTGAGTATTTTTATCTATAGTCGAGGTTTGGAATTACGGTCTGATTTCCTCCACACATACAGACTGCTTTGTATTGTATAAATGATGTTGAAACTGAAATAAACTGAAACACTAATTCAATTTTTCTCTTCAGTAATTTAACAAATCTCAAAACTTTTTCAGTGTGCAAGAATAACGATGCCTGTTCTTACATTGGCCAGATACGTTTTAGAATATTCTCTCATGAACTATGATACAATTACGATAAGGGATTCCAAATTGGCATCTGCTGCACTATACCTGGCTTTCAAAATGAAAAATATTAGTGGCTGGACGAAAACACTGGAGTTTTACACAGGTATGAACTTTTTACTTGTTGATCTAATGTGTTGTTTCATGTGAGTTTCTTTCTGTTCTCAGCTATTCAAGAAAAAATAGTAATTTTTTTCAGTTTATCTTTTAAAATGAAACAAAATTGGAAGAATTCTTCTATATCGCTTCTCGAAGTGAAAGAACATACTTTTTTTGGTACTAAGTTTCGATGCTTAGATATCCCAAGTCCAAATTTTCAATTTTCATGGCTTTAGACAACTGAACTTGTTGACGTTCTGCAATAAATCTGAAAATAATTATGGATTCTGGTATTTGGAATTGAATGTATTTTAGTTAATAATTTTCATTTTATTGAAAAAATATTTATTCGGCAATTTCTATTTAGTCCCCCTCAGATATAATACAATTGTGCCAGCGTTTTTTCGAATCCTCAAAGTAGTTCTGCTATGCACTTTTTGGTATGTTCTTTAGCTCTCTCTGCGATTGGTTTCTTATCTCCTCATTCGTCTCTAAACACACTTTCATGGGTACATTCCACTTGTGAACAGAAAAAGTCACATAGGGGGAATCTGGTAAATATGGTGGCTGAGGCATGATTACCGTGTTGTTTTTGTCCAAGAAGTTTGCAAAAGCCATGAATTGTTTTTCCACAATACCGGACGTCTTCTTTGTATTGCGTCTCGCAAGCGGCGCATAACTTCTATTCAAGATAATACTCCTTATTGGCCGTACGTCCATGTAGCTAGAACTCCTAATGAACTATGTCACAGTAATCGAAGAAAACATTGAAAAAGCCTTGACCCTTGATAGAACTTGGCATGTTTTTTTTGGTATTGGCTATAAAAATGTTATTTTTCAGGTTACAAATTGGAAGAATTCAAAGACGTAGCCATACTGCTCAACACTGGCTTACAGAATCCCCCCAAATCTCAACTGATGACAGTGCGCAACAAGTACTCGCACAAGATCTTCTTCGAAGTAGCCAAAACGCCACTCATCTCCAACGATGATCTCTGATGAAAGCACATTCCGTTGAACCTGAAAAGACCATTGAGTACCTCCTATGAGCATTCTACTAACCTTTTACCACCGTTATTCTTGTGACTATGACTTTTACTCAATTTTTTTACTCCTTGCTGTGTTACATAATGAATTACCTCTGTGTCGTATGATTCCAAATTATTTTTAAGAAAATATATTAATTTAACTAGTACTTTCTGTTTTTTTCCAATTGACTGGAGGATGATAGGTTACAGTGTTGCATGCCATAATAGGTTAATGTTTTCTTGTTGTGTTAATAATTTGTAAAAAATATCGGAGATTGATTTTGAGTCTGTGCTCGAGTCATTTTGATATACTGGTTGGAAAAAGTTGGGAATTCTGAAAGCTGATTCGTCACTCCCATAGACGAAAAATGGTAATCTACAAATATTGGTGTTGTTGAGTGAAATCGGTGATGCAGGTGAGGTGTCCCTAACTTTTCACAACCAGTTTACTTTCTGAACTGATTTTACAGTTCGCCATGAAACTAACCAAACTATTTGTATTTCTAAGGTAACTTGGAAAAGTTTTTGACAATGCAGAATATTTGGATATTCTCGTAATTATCTTTTTTCTCAATTGCGAAAATCAGTTTTCCATATTTTTTAGTGCAAATGAGGTCATTATATGACTTCTAGTTGTGAATTTATTTATTTTTTAATGTATTATACTGTTGAAAGATGTATGACTCCGCCTGTCGGAACTTGTTCTGGTTGCGATGTCCAATTTTATGAAATAAATAAATTTTTAAAAACATAAAAGGCTTTATTTTAGTGGAATTAATCGGGAAGACCTCAATCAGGAAGAAAAAGTAATAATTATTTTCATTTTGACAAAGTGTAATTGAATAGTCAATCATAAGTACATACAAAACAAAAATACCACAAAAACAAGTTGTCACAATAAAAGTACATGATAATACATTTAACAAGAACAAATCATACAAATGTGTAAATCCTTCAAAGATTAAAAACATTGAATTGAGTGGAAGAAAGAATACTTTCCAAACTTTTCATAGATGGACTGAAAAGTTCGTAGGCTTACAAACAGATGGCGCTACTAGTATTGAATCCATTATTTTTAGTTAACCCTAACCTTCAAAAGATACGAGTACAAATTTCACAGCTGTCGGACTATTAGTTTGTGGGATACGAGTGGGGCAACTTTTTTGAAGAAAATTAATGAAAAGTAATTTTGTGTGTTAATGAAGCATTGCTTATTGGCTATTAAAGCCAAGGCTTAGCTTGATGAACATTATTTGGAGTTTGCACTAGGTAAATCAAACACTGAGTGGTTGCATGGATTGTATCACCCCATAGACATAACCCATATATCAGTCATGAATTTTATATCGATTTCTAGTTTTCATGGTTTTCTAAAATGCCTAAATGCCTAGTTGGTCAATGTCTGTAGAAAAACGGTTAGACAATAGACAATGGCTTGAGCATTGTCTATATAATGGTTTGATCCTTGCTTGTGGCATCTACCGTTAAATATAGGCATTTTCATAAAAACAAGCCCGAAATGTGGTGACATCTGTATGAAATGCGAATTTTATTGAAACTTATGCAACTATTTTTGTCGAATATAACAAACAAGGATAACACCTTTGTATATAAAGAAACACCTTTGTGTATGAAGAGTCTATATACAAAGATAACACCTTTGTATATAGTATACAAAGATAACACACTCTGAAGAAATACATTGAAAAGGGTAGTCCGATACGACAATAAACGATCACTACCTATTACTGACCGACGAGTAGTCAAATCAAAAGTGTTTGTTTTTAGTCCGATCTTTCATTCCGACGGAGTGGTAATAATGAATGATAAAATTGATAAAGAGTTTTTGATAATTCTTGTGGGAGATGAGCCTCGCTTGTGGGACCAGCGAAACAGTTACAACGGACTGCATAGGATCGCGCGGCGTCCGATGATCGTCCCATATCGGGTCGGGAGAAATACGGATTCAATATAGGTGCAGCCTTTAAACTTAAGTGTTTGTTTTTCTTCCGATGTCGTCCGATGGTCCTCCGACATCGGGTCGGGAGAAATACGGATCCAATATAGGTGCAGCCTTATGTAGATTTATGGTTAATTACTGCATTTGCGAGTATTTTTTTTCGACATGTAGTAAAAGTGAAGTGAAACATGGAGTTTGCCAGGATTTACTGATTTTTGTTAGGAATTTCAGAGTGAATCATTTATGTAACTGAAATTGCTGAACAATGCTGTTGGTCATGGCGAGTAGGCTTTCACGGCAGGTGTCTAATAATAGTTTGTTCGATATTTCTGGGTTTTTATACCTGACGTTTCGTCAGCTACTACTGCAGACAGTCTCAAATATGATGCGGCAGCATTCGAAGTGATTTACCTTGTTGCGAATTGCAACGCACAAACTGCGTTTATCATACTCATCCGTTTCTCCAAAACAAGCACTGCTCTCAAACACTAGAAAATTGCAACACTCCTTTCAACACGCGTTTCATCAACCAAGTTGGCGGCTTTAGGAGATGCAATTTCCTTTTGCACAAGTACAAAAAATACTACAATGGGATAAAAAAGAATACACATGCGTCATCAGTTTGTGTATCCGATATAAGTCGACAAACTGGCACAAACTAATGGAAACGAAGAACCTAATCTAACCTAAATTCACTAATAGCAGGTGTCTTCAAAAGAAGGAAAAACTGTTACGTCATATGTTGCAAAACATTGGTAAAATGATCAGGCGATATAAAGTTTTTCTAACTTTTCTAGTAACTAACGTTACTGCAGTTTTGTCCTATAAGGACATTTTCAAATTTATACATTAAACTAATGTAATGCATGTATAATGTTACTCTCATACTGTATATTGCATAATATTTCAAAAATAATGAACAAATAGATTCAATTAGAGTACGCCTTTCTGACATTTTCACACCGAAACGTCAAATAAATATTCATGACTCCCACGAAGAAAATCAATCCAAGCGAGAGGAATCTTTTCCAACTTTGCTTCCCTTGCTTTAGTAAATCTTCAGTGGATTGTGACGAGATAATGCTGCGAAGTTTTGGCAGAGAATTCACCGAGTACGAATATGTCATAGAAAACTTGGCAATACGACGTGCTCCCAAAGTGTTACTGGATTCTTACCAGCCGCCTCCAAAAATCAAATCCCGGTATGGTCAAACCAAAAAACCCACGGTAAAGCATCTTGCCGCAGGTTCATCTGTGAAGAAGCCTTCTCCAGAAGTAATGGTTGGTCCCGTGGTGGAGACTGAAGACGCTACTCCGGAAGATTCTCATCTTCTACCTCCTATCGAAAGCCGAGAGAAACCAGTTTGTGGACCATGTACTCCGAACATGGCCGGGTACAATCCCTGTCAAACAAAAGGGTTTCACAACGTTCCTTGTAGACCGTGTAGACCACGAACTGATGACAAGATGAACCAAAATGAAACGGTATTGAAAAAAGCCTTGGTTCCTCCCATTTATCGAAGAGGACCCCCGAAACTGCAGGTAAAGTAAGTACAGTTAGAGTCTCATCTAGAGTATTGCGCCCTTTCCGAGAAGAAATGATTTTTTTTCAATATTATTCGTTAGTTCTTTAAGAAAATGATTCATTCATCAGAAAGTAACGCTTAAATGTTTCCATTTTAAAGGAAAATCGAAGTTATAAAAATTACTGTGACGTCACTTCCATCGGACTCAAATCCCTTTTTAAACCACGTTCCAAAATATATTTTATCTTTATAAAGCATAAAAAAGTAAATGCGACATAACTATTGAATTATTAATACTGAGTCAAATGTCGTTTTAACAAAAATCCAAATATAAAGTCTTTGTTTCGTGAGATGAAATGCTTCTTAATTTTGGAACTTACCTCAAAAACAAGTTGGCAATGTCTCACGAACAGGCAGAACAACAAAAATACAACAAGAAGAAGAAACGGTGTTGCCAAGTTCAAATCAAATTTTAGTGACGTCACGACTATCGTTTTACCTCAATTTTGAAAAACAACTGACGAAAAAATTATAAAAAATATAGAACGAGGGCGGTAGTATTTAAAAATATGTAGTTTTCACCTATGTGGTTATCCCAATATCAGCGTAAGGATCCATTTTATATGTTATCCATTAGTTAGGAAAACAAGATGAATACGTTGGTGTTGATAGCTCGCGCTAGTATCTTAGTATACTATTAGAATTCTATATTTGTGTCTGTCAAAGCTATTTCTCGGGTTTATTGGCCGTGGTATGCAGTTTTTATGTCTGAAGTTTTTTCTACTACTGTGGTAGGCATTATCAAAGACAACAGATAAAGTTTCTTTATGGTATGATTCGGTTGCATTGCAGAACAGGCAGCCAAAATCTACTTTTGCTAATTCTCTCTTCCTTTCTATTGCAATTTGTGCCTGTTCAGTTTTAGCTGATTCGTCGATATGCTCTAGACGACAATTTCTCTTGTGTTCGAAGAGCCATGGTCGGTTTTCGACATTTCGATCTCTCCATATAAGTACTAGTTTTTTTACCGAGCATGTTCTCATGAAGACTTAAACCGCGAAGGTTTTGTTGAGCATGTATTTCGATGTCATGTGGTTTGGAAATTTGTTTGATGTTCCTTCCTCCACATATTTCAAAATTTCTGTTTTGTCCGATCCCATGTAACTCTCTGAGTTTCCAAGTCTGAATTGGCCCACCCCTGCTTACCCCAAAAACACTGCCAACAGAAATACCAAAAAATTGTCGTTAGTTCCATACACAATTATTATGATGTAGTTTTCTGAGGAAATTGAACCTTTTGAAGCATGCAATTGCGAAAAAAAGGTGCCATTTTGGAATTTTTATTTAGCAACACTTGGGTGACTGTATCTCCGAAAGTAAGCCCAGCGCCAGGTTTTGCCTCCAGATTCGTGATCAACCAACAAAAATAGGCAGATCTCATTGGATGAACTTTCGAAAAATCCCACGAACTATTGAAAAAAATATTCACACAAAAAATCATATTAGGATGTATTTGAAAACAGAAATAAACATCACTTTGTCTTTCCTGTCGATCAGTATTTTTTCTAGTAAGGTTTCAGCAGATATCCACAAAGATGGTGAGGTAGAAAAGAGTTCCAAGGCGGAAAAGAAAAGTATTCCCACAGAGATCCAAGAAACAATCGACGCTTTGAGAAGTGCCCGTCCAACTCATTTGGCCCCTCTTCCGCGAAAGAATCAAAGAAATTTGATGAGGAGCGTGTCAGATACAAGTTGCGATAAAGAAACATTCTGTAATTTCTTAGGTAAAATTATATATGTTTTTTCAAAAGCTTTCAGAGTATTGACTATGAAATTTCAGGGTTGGAAAATTTCAAAGAAGAAACCTCCGAGGAAACTAGGTCTTCTCGAATGAATATCTACTTCATGGAAAATAAGAGAAAGCCTTCATCTCGGTCCCCACAATTTAGAAAGCGATCCGTGTCTCCGCGGAAAACAGAGACCAGTATGATTGGTTTTTTCAACACTACATGTGAAAGGCTCTAAGTTATCTATGATAGAAATTTCACGTTCACTTCTCTAACTGTAAATTTAAAAATATGAGCGCGTTTTACTAAAGTTCACAGGGTTCATGGATAAACTTTCGATACATTACGCACATATTCTCTTAGGTTCGTTTATAGTAAGCCTTTTTATCTAGAGAGAGTAATGAAGAGGTGAAAAACAGTACTATAGATTCAACAGAAATCAAATCACTGTAATGACTCGACTCAAAGAAGGATTTATATCCGTATTCTCCGTATATCGGGCAAAGCAGCCTACTGAGCTCGGCTGAAATATTCAGCTCAGCTCAAATATTCATGTTATACACTGTAATACCAAGCTTCCTAAATCCCAAAATACATGTGGCAACACCGAAAAATTGCTGAAATTCTTCAAGTATCATGATCACGTAGCACAATAAACAGAGGGAAGAAGAATTTTATGTCAAAATAAAAAATAACAAGTGAAAACTGTACAAATCGAGTAGAAAGGTCACAGGTACAGACATGATATTCCGTATTGTTGTTCTTGGCGTTACTTTAGTAACAAAATGTTACTTTTTAGTTTTCAAAATCACCAAGTTACGTTGTTACTCATTTTGTTATATTTGGGAAACCATTTATTGTAAGTCACTTCCTTTATTGGGAAGTATTTTAAGGTAGCGACGCCTAACATGTCTTCAAACATATTCATAAAACATTTGAAAGTTCGGACTGCCATAAGTTAGAAAAAGAGTTGACAGAAATTTTAATGCCATTGAAAGCACTAAAAGTTGAGCAAGCCTTGATAAGCAATGAATATATAAATTCAAAAAATACAGGAATGCTAATTTGTAAAACAAACAAATCATTTTAACCTGAAACAATAAGTGAGATGACACTTATATAAAAACAACAAAAATGATAAAAAAATTAAAACAGCATAATTGAGTAGTTTCGGAAGTTTGTTTTACGTGTGAAGTAATTGTTTAGAGGAAGGATTTTTTTTCAGTCTGTGTCTGAAAGTAACTCCTTTGCATGATCTACACATTTTTGTAAAGAGTTCATTTTGAAATTAATTGCTTTCTTCTTTTCTTTGGAAGTTTCCACATTTTTTTGTATAAAGACGGAGAAGTAGAAAATCAAAACCATTATTTCCCAAATATCAATATCTCCTGAAAGTATGCCCCTTCCAATTGAAATTAAATAAACATTGTTTCAATAAGTATTTTTCACAAGTACAGATTTTCTTTTGCAATCGTCAACATAGTATTTTTTTATACATCCTGTATATACATGTAGTGTTGGTTGAACCAAGCATGTCTTTGATGATTTCAGACGATGTGAGTTGAACTGTATCATACATTTTTGAGAAGAAAGCAACTTTTATTTTTTTCTTAGATAACTGGAAGAGGAGAAAATGCAGAAGAGATTGACAAACATAAACTCGAGCAAATGGAAATTGAAAAAGAAAAACTGAAAAGTCAAAGTCTCAAATGGAAAATTATCATAAATAAACACAAAGGTTATAAGTATACTAAACCGTGTGTTACAGATTCATAGAGCATCTCTTTTTTAAATTTAATCGCTTTTTAAATGTCGAATTAGAACATAAAAATAATATGTTTTCGCTTCTGACGTATTTGTCTGTCTTTTGTGGAACACATTGGACTTGTTCTCCAAATTATTCCTAGAAATATGTAAATGAGCTCAGCCATTTAGTTAGCTCAAACAAACTACTATGCATGGAATTATTTGAAAGCAGAACGTTTATGTAGATATTATTTTCGAATATTCCTTTCTCAATTTAGACTTTTAGACTTAGATTATGCCAAGTTGATAAAATAAACAATTACTTATACTGGACATTTTACCATAAGCGTGAATGAAAACGCCAGTGAGGGAAGTATTCTGTCCAACCATTCAACTATTGTTGTTTTAGTTATCGACTGTTATTAGGCAATTTGTCGTGTGAATCCGAAATTTTATATTCTCACTACTTGAAAAATGATTCTGTGGAGAAAATATTAACGTCTGGTAGTTAGTACGATTTGAAACGTATCCATGATGATTCACAACTAGCGTTAGGTTGGTTTTGAACTCAGAGTAATTTCCTTGTTTCTGAAGCCAAATTACTTTGTTTATGTTTACGACAGTCCTCCAACTAACAAAAATAGATAATACCGGTATTTCGTCGTTTTTTGAAGTTATTTTAGTGATTTGAGTGCTTATTGACAGATATAATTAATTTGTAGTGCAAAAAGTAATTTTGAAGATGGTGAAAACCTGCGTTGTTTGTAAATTTTCGCAATCCTCGCATGTTGATGGATCCAGTCCAAAGAATTATGTAAACAATTCCCTCAGTCCCCTTGTCATCATTTTACTGTGAGAGAGATATATATCCTGGTTGTCTACAAATCTGTTGTGTTTATATAATCTCTACTTATTTTTTATTACTCTGAGGATTTGAATCGAAATTTGACGTTATGTTACGTCAGTTGTCAGTCTCTGCTTTATTTTGAGCGTTATAGGTTATAAAGTGCTGGCGAATCCTATTAATAGTGACGTCACTACGAATTGTTTTTAATACATCCTCGAATACGATTAAACGACAGAAAACACCATTGGTATTCGATAAAAATATTAATGAGATAGATGATGAGTTAAGATAACTTCTTATTCACATTCTCTGAAATAATAATTTTTGTCATATTCATGATCAGAGAAAAAAAGTACACAAATAATAATAGCATTTATCACGACTTTTGAATTTCGAAAAAAAAAACAAAAAAAAAGAGGTGTGTACTGTAAGCCTGTAACACGCGTTATATACATGTATATACTTCATGAGAAACATTTTGCATCGTTATTTTCCCATTTCAGACAAGATTAAGAAAAAAGACGTATCTCCCAATACGGTGTCTTAGTCAAGTTGACGTACCGAATCTACAAAAGTCAAATTCAATTTAATGTCGATGTTTTTTGTAATATTGTTATCATTTGCTTTAAAAAATGCTTCATTTGCCACAGTCATTAAGAAAAGTATAATAGGTTGGTGAGTACAACTTTTGAGTGAATTCGGCGGTGACAATTTGAAAATTTACTTTCAGATATGCGACGATCGTGCCTCTCAAACATTTCCAGTGATTTATATTTGCCTTCAGAGGCAGGTGAAGTCAACAGCTTCGTGATATTAATTTCTTCAAAGACTATTAAACCTTCGTGCAATTTCAATGTTTATTCCTCGACTTCTGAGATTCGATTATTGTTTGTTATGGAGTTTTTTGGACAAGTAGCATGCAAAGAAAATCAATTTGTCGTGGTAGGTATGATCAGTTGTTACTAAAAAAGTTTATATACAGTTAATATAATTAATTTGAACGGAAATATACAGCGCTGGGTATCGAAGCAAAAAAGTGTGTCAAGTGTTGTAAGTTTTTTAATTTTGAATCTATACAACTTATTTCTTATCCAATTTCAAGAATCCTGATGTGTTTGAAAAATACTTAGCATTCAGTTCGACCTCGGCTGGTTGTGGATTGACAATTTCCAGTCCTTGGAGGGGAGTAAATGCGACACTAGAAGCAGTACCAGATAGTTGTTTTTTCACAGTTGAACTTCCACCATAAATTTGCTGTTTTTGTAAATTTTTCTGTAGAGTCTTGGATATTCTAACTTTGGTTTTTTCGTCCACTTGAGGCAGCCTTATCCTTCCTGTTCCTGCTTTACCAATCGTACCTTTTGAGTAGCCTAAGTCTTCTTGATAAGCATCATCTTCAATATCTGCAAAGTTTAGTCTATTGGCGTGTTTTCTAAATTCTGTTAGCGCACATCTCTCCTTCATTTTTCTTACTCTCTTTCCTCCCCTCTTCTTTTTTGACTGGTCTATAGGTTTGGGAAGGGGTTTGACAAATTTTACTGGTGGAGGTTCCTGAAGTTTGTCTAATTTTCGTTCAATTTCATCCCGTAACCGCCTGCCTATACTACCGTCAGGACTCTGATGGCAAGCATCAACTCGTCCCGCCAGGGTACATGTTGAGGCTACTAATTTCGCAGCCGTTCTTCTCAAATCTGGTGGAGTATTCTGAACAATATCAGAATAATAGATAAAGCCTGTATGAGGCAACATTGTCGACTGAGAAAAACCAGAAAGAGATTTTTTCTCCTCTCCTAGAAGTAGTACATTACAGGCAGGAATTCTGGAAAGCCTAGTCAGACCTCCAGCAACGCCCAAAATTTTAGCAGCTATCGAAGCACCAAGAATGACAGATGTGTTTGGAGCCATGAATGTCATTCGGCTTTCCACATACTCATATATCTTCAGTTTGAAATTGTTCAATTCCATTGCCATGTTACAGGCTTCATCAATTTGCTCTTCCTCAAATTTGGAAAGTAAGGTTCCTTGTGTTGTAGAAGCAGTTACAGACACAACCATAATGGTTGCCTGAGTCGAAAACTGTTGCAATATTTCATTTATTTTGGTTTGATCTAAATCGTTTCCTAGTCCTTTTACTGTTCTTAGATATTCCATTGGACTAACAACTAAAGAATAAAGTTCCGGAAATCGTTTCTGGTATTTGTCTCGAACAAACTTATGTACAGTCACAATTTCACTATCTATTTCTTGGGCAAGATTGTTGGCTTCCACAATCAGTTGATACTCTCGGTCAGCTTTTACTGGCCCCACTATATCTACAGCTCTCCTAACTTTGGTACCGAAACCTTTTATTTGGGACATAATATTGGTAAGCTTTTCTGAATCTCTCAATTTACAGAGTTCTGTGACTGAGTTTATCTGTGTGATATCTTGTTCCATAATTACGTCGTTTATATTTGGCATTTCTTCAGTATCTTCATCCATTGCCTCTGTGAAATCATCATGATCGTTTCCTTCTAGATCAGCTAATAATTCGTCGGCCAGAGACATTCTTATAAAATATAAGAAAACCACAGTTTCGACAAAATAACCTGTATTTTAAATATTACTGGAATTGTTATTTAACACCTCGATCACCAACTGATCGTCTTCAAAAGGAAGATTGAACTGAAGAAACTTGCTAGGCTACCCCTAATTATACTATTCAGGTATACCATACAGGTATTCAGGTATACAGGTATACCATACATAGGTATCTACTTCTTAAGTGTCTTAAATTTAAGACACTCAAGGTACCTGAGTCTTAAATCCTCAAATCAACTTTGTATGTATTTTTGAAAAATGCTCTAGTAGTGTTCACGAAAAATGTAAATTTTTGAGTGTTACAAGATCAATCAAATATATAAGAAAGAGAACCAGACCAAGTACTGACAGGATTCAGTACTTCTCCCCTCTCTTTTTACTCTTGCAAAAACTGTCATTTCTGAAAAGTAACTTCAGAACTATCTATAGTGATTTCCTCCGAATCAACAAAAATGCAACAGCTGTTTAACGGAAAAACAGATTTGAAACAGAACAGATAACATGCCTTTAATGAAAATTACTTTCAAACAGCAAATCTCAAAAATGGATACTACAAACATCATCTACAAATGACAGCTGACACGAAAGACAAATACACAGAGTGGCCAACTCATAAAACACTTTTATTTAACAATCCATAATTCAAAAAACAAACCAAAACTGACCAAATTATTTTCAGAAATCAAAAACCCGACGTAATTGAGTAACCTTTATGAATGCTCAAAATTGTTTGGAATTTTAAAACATTCAGAGAAACAACTTAGGTTCATTTGTCATCAGTTTCGAAAACCAATTGAAGAACATTTACCAAAATACAGTTGCAAAAATAAGTTTGTGATTAGTTTAGTGCTGCTCTTTTACAGAATGCAGAATTCTGTAAAGTAATTTATTGTTTTTATCAATTTGGACTTATTGCTTCGGAAAAAATTTACAAAGTGTATAGACTGAATTCAAGCTTAAAGGTGATATTTTAACCTCATTCAGAATTCGGGTATTGGAATTTACATTTTCAATATTGTAAAAACTTGTAAATATAAAGAAAGGTGATCGTAAAATAACTGTCGAATGTCTTGAATAGTAAAATAAAATCTGCTCATTTAAATAGTACACAGGTTAAAAGATATAAGATAGTGTTGCTCTCAAGAGTTGTAATGATGTTCCTATTTATTTTATATAGTAATATACCAAATACACCTAGTTTAGTCTTCCAACAAACGATAATGAACCCCTATTAGTTTGTGAATCTACCTCCATGTATATAGGCACTTTTATTTGATAATTTCAAATTCAAAAACTCTCTCAACATCTTATGAACGATCAAACTGAATTGAATAATTCGCCATTATTGAATCTGTTTATTCCCAGGTAAAAATTGTTAGGTATATTTACAGGTAGACTTTCGAGATACCTGACTTTTTCAGGTAGATTCATTACTTAGGTAGACGACTAGGTACTAGGAAATCATACAATAAACTCTATTGATTAGTTTTTTTACTTTTATTTGATACAGAGTGATTGGGGCATGGTACAACTTTATTCGTTTGATAACACAAATATATAGGTATTTTACTCAACAATCAGAAGGGATTAGCTTTTTATTTTTTCTCTTGCTAGTTTCACTCTCCAGTGCTTGGAGTATCAGTCCCTTGGCTGTGAAAACATTCCATATAAACAACATTGGTTTCACTTTATTCTCGAAATACGGTAAACGCGTTTTCCGTTGATTTGTAATGCCGCACTTATACCAACAAGTTCCACTCGCAACAGTTATAATACAGCCTTTTTCAAACATCTAGGGAATGTTTCCTTTCAGAAAGACGTGTTTATGATATAAATATATGCTAACACAGACAACACATCGTCGTTAAATTTTTCACGTAAAGTATTGCAGCCTGCCGAAGTTTCGTCTTCTCATCTCCCCTATACCAGTAGATATCACATAAAATAAAGTTCTCTTATTCTACATTGATGAATTTTCAAGTTGTTTGCAAATAAATGAAAAAACAATGTTCCAAAGAAACCTCTTCTCGAAGTATTTTCATATTTGGTTTTCATTTTCAGTACAACGATGACGATACGATAACAGATGTGTGTACAAAGGATGCCGTCCAAGGAGTTTACAAGCATCACATGTTGGTTGAAAGACTTTCTTTACTAGTGAATATTCAAGAAATTGACGAGTTTAGTCTAACGAAAGTGGTGATTACGGCAGCAACGATACCTTCTAGTATCGTTGGAGACTGTGGGAAACTTGGAAAAATCAATTGTTCAATCAATGACGCCATATGCATAGACCGAAATCTTCAGTGTGATGGAGATTTCAACTGTGGAGTCAAGTTTGGGTTCGATGAAGACGAGATAATTTGTGGAGGTTATTTATTTTCTGAATTTCAAAAATGCGAGTCGAAGTAGTCGATTCATTGAATTTGCGGAAAAACGACTTGAGAAAATTTATAGCTTCTCATACTTTGATGCACTGCTTTGCTATGTACTGCATTTTAAGATTTTCGCTGTCACATGTCACAAAGATAGTAGCTCGACGGATAATATGCTAGTTAAATCATTTCATTTAAATTTTTCGAACAGCAGTTTGATAATCTATAATCGAAGCCATGTGTCATTGTAAACGTAAGAGAATATTCAGCACTAATAAGATCAACTAAAGCCATAGAATATCTTACAGAAGAGACACTATTTTGGTGGCAGTCTTGAGGGTTCAAGTTTTTGTAACCTATATTCTGTGTTCTAGGTTTTAGATATCACTTTCAGCGGTAAATTCAAATTATTTGAAACTATCAGATATATAATTTGATTGCAGTCGAGGAATTATCACGATATCATCTCGGCAGATTGTTGGGCCAACATTTCAACAAAACCTTAGCTTGATTTCATCATGTTCAACTTCATTAACCACTCGAATGGTTCCTGTTCCGTGCTGAGTATCCTTTCTATGAGGTATTCAGAACAGGGATGTTCCTCAGCACATATTTTATATATGAAATCATCTTTACGAGAACATCCCGTTGATCGCCAAAGGAGACTCATAATAATTGCAAAAGTTTTTTGTCAGCCTTCTTTGGGTATTCTCATCTTCCACAGTCTGAAAAATATAAAAATTATAAGACCCAAAAAATGTCAGGAGCCATCTGGAGGATCTGTTGAGGAAGAGAAAATTATAAGTACCTTTCACGAAGAGGGCATTCCATCATCATCCATTACGGAGAGTTGGGAGGAATCCGCCGACTCGGAAGACACCAGGAATTTTGATTTCAGGAAAGTGAGAAAAAAGAAGTGGCCAGTGTTTACTAAAGGAGACGTGCCTTCTTACGAAAAGCGTCTTTCAGAAAGGATGAAACTGAAAATGCTTACTTGCACCACCAGTGAGGATGAAAAGCCTAAAGTAACATTTTATGCTACTACTACGAAATTGCCATAGCATATATTTATTTCTGTCAAAATAAGTCAGTAAATAATCATAAGAGTAATTTCTTTCATTCACTTTTCTGATATCTTTCTGCTAAATATGTCTTATCATTCGCTAAAGGTTGATTGAATTGATTCACAGCTCATTCTTGAAGTATATTTTTTTTTAATTTAACGAACTGTCTTCCTTTAAGTATACTAAGAATTTGCAAACATTTTAAAATAACCAAAATTGACTGTTGGTGTTTCTCAAAACGTTTCAATCAATATTCAAGTGAAATAACCCCAAATCTCAATTACTATTGATAGAATCGGCCAATACTTGTAACGATTTACCGATACGAAACTGGATTTTCAGCTAACGCTTACACAAAAAATAAATACAGAAACATATTGGATGCAGCTTTGGATCTTCGTATTCAAGTGTCGGACATAAAGCCTAAATTTCGTACTATTTTAAAGATATGTTTTAAAATTCAGTTGTTCACATCAAATAGTTATTACATTGTAACATTAGTTGTTACATTGTAACAAGTATTTTTCATTTATAATTTTTCTTTCTTCTCGTCGTAATATGAAAATATTCATACTACTAGGTGAACATATTCCAGTTAATTTTACAATAAAATGTTTCTTGAATATCTCAATTACTATGCTCATTTATGACAGTGACAACTACATATAACAATTACATTCTCAGTTTATGTTTGAAATACTTTAAACTGAATTGCGAACTATTGATTCTTCTTATTACAGCAAACGAATGAATTCACCATTCAACTTGATAGGGAAGGAGTGAATGCCAGTTTTGAAATATTGATATATCAGCATAGTTATTGATTCTTCTTATTACAGCAAACGAATAAATTCACCATTCGTCGTAATATGAAAATATTCATACTACTAGGTGAACATATTCCAGTTAATTTCACAATAAATTGTTTCTTGAATATCTCAATTACTATGCTCATTTATGACAGTGACAACTACATATAACAATTACATTCCCAGTTTATGTTTGGAATACTTTAAACTGAATTGCGAACTATTGATTCTTCTTATTACAGCAAACGAATAAATTCACCATTCAAATTGATAGGGAAGGAGTGAATGCCAGTTTTGAAATATTGATATATCAGCATAGATATTTACATTTTCCCCAACAAAGCATTCAAGTAACATTTTATTGTGAGATTTTCACTGAACTCTGAACCATACCCCAACGATATTGGACGCATTTAGGATAAATGCGTCGAATCGGTACTTCTCTCAGTTAAGAAAAAAATAATTAGAAGAATTTTTTCCACTGTTCAAGATTTCTAAGACCTACATCAATGAAAAGGAATAGAACAAACCATGCGCCTTCCTTTTAAAATATATTTTCAACAACCGTTCAATTTCAAATACTGAGGCCATAGAATCTTAAAATCACGTCACATATGAATAAAATATAAAGATCATGTTTCTTCACTGGGTGTAGAAGAGCGAAGTACGGAGGGTAGTGCCTCCTCTTTCATAGAAGTAACCATTTCGAATTGATATTCCTGGTAGCATGGGGTATGGGATAGATTGTAAAAATGAATAGAAGAAGACGCCCTACAAGGTTTTCTCACGTCATATGTCGGATGTCATCCGTAATCACTTCATTTTCGTTTGTTAAAAAAGCAAGTTGAAGTGCTGTCAGATGCGATTTATAACAAAATTCTAAACAAAATAATTCATTTGTGATGATCGACGATATCTGATTAAACTCCTAATTATACTTATGAACCACCAAGGCCTAACTTTGCGGTAGCACTCTAAATTGTTCACACCTGAAAAAACGTCATTCATTACAAAATAGATTAAAAGAGATTCAAACAATGCCTCTATTTGGAAAATCACAAAAAGGACCGGCAGACGTTGTGAAGTCCCTCAAAGAAGCTGTGAACTCTCTGGAAAAAGGAGATAAAAAAGGTGAAAAGGCCCAAGAGGATGTGTCCAAGTACTTGCTTTTGATTAAGAACATGCTGTATGGTACATCAGATGCCGAGCCCCAGGCTGATATTATAGTGGCACAATTAGCTCAAGAACTGTATAATACGAACTTGTTGTTATTGTTGATACAGAATTTGAATCGAATCGATTTTGAAGGGAAAAAGGATGTGGCGCAAGTTTTCAATAACATCTTGCGCAGGCAAATCGGAACTAGATCTCCAACTGTGGAATATATTTGCACTAAGCCTGAGATTTTATTTACGCTAATGACTGGGTTAGTTGATATTTATTTGTGAAGTAATTTCAATAAATAGGAAGTTGATGATTCCTCTGAGGGCAGTCCAGTTTCATTCAAAATAAATATATTCTTGTGAAATTATGATTCATAATGTTGATACAGTCAGTTCAATCTTATCTATTCTAACTTGCATATCTATTTTAAAACTGCCTGGTAAATATGCATTTTGAAGGCTTGCACGAGTTTCTAAAAAACTTTATAGACTTATGTATTTTAGTTCTCTGATCAAGAATCTGAAGTCAAATTTGACATTCTGGTCCACTGCAGTATTCTTATTGTCACCGGCAGACTTTAAGAGGAGACCTTTTGTGACATTATTTTCAGTGGTTGAAATAATTGACACACAATATTATCTCACTATCATTCAAAAATAGGGGATTGCCTAGTTTAGGTCCCAGCACACTTATATTATTGAACCTACAATATAAATGAGTGTTTAAAAGCACAATTAAAATATAACCCAACCTAACCTTTAATTACTAGTACTAATGTTAAATTAATATATTGAGAATATTTGAAAGTTAAATTGAAACGGTTGCAAATCATTTATATGCAACACCTCTAATACCATATTGTTCCATTTTCATTTTATTCGTTGGTTTTAGAGATTACCGTGAAAGTAATATGAAACATGTCACAAATTACATAAAGTTAATTCACATTCAAAACTGACAATTTTAAAAATAGATATCAAGTATATTAAAATATATCATTGAATGAAAGTATCTAATTAGATGGTATAGAATTCTTTGATATTTTAAAACCAACAGAAAAGTTTTGAGATATTTTCTGAATTTGAAGTCGGTATTTTCCTTTTTAATTGATTCCGGGAGCTTATTGTAAATTCTTACGCCATCGGAGATAGGCAGAGTTTCAACATTCAAATTATTTCGAGGTGTTTTTAGATGGTGGTTAAAACTGGTTGATTAACTGATCATTACTATGAGTGCTAACCCTTTTTTCATTTTTAAATATGTAACAAAATATTTTTGAAATTTACAGGCAAGAGGGAGAAAGCATTTTCAGATTGGCAAATAATGGTCTACATGATTCTCTCCGACTTTTATTTAATAATGTTGTAAGACATTTTTTCTGAGGTAAAAATAATTTCTGAGCTGCTGATGCTGAACGCCACGATAAAATTCCATATGTGAGTCGTGACTGAGTTTCAGCATAATAAAATTTGTTAGTACGGACAAGTTGAGAACTCTTCGGTACAGTATATGTAAGAGAATTGGGAAATTAATACAGTCAACTTCAGAATTTTGAGAAGCACAATACATAAGTGTAATCAATGGAAAATTTGTCTAAATACAAGCTTTAAAAATGAATATTTGAAAATTGCCGTAATCTGGACTGCTTATCAATTAGTAATATGTTTTCAAGCAATGCAGACGAATAAGTAATCGAGAGGACTTTGAATCAATTACAGAACACTTCAAAAACTATAAAAAAAGGATATGCCACTTCTGAAATTGAAAAAAAAATTATTGTGCAACTCAAAATAATTAGAAACTACTTCGATTGACTAACAGTTTGAAGCCACACTGTATATGCTCATGTATTTGTAGTACATACCTGCATTAGTGAGCTTAGTTGATATTGATGACTGATAGTTTTCATATTTGCATTTTTCAATTTTTTTTTTCATTTTGTCGAGTTGTACTTTTTGACTTGAGCTTTGCAACTGTGTATATTGTAAGCCTCAATAAAGTCTATTTCTGTATTTCATTCTTATCTACAAAGACATATAAAGGCCACAAATTATTAACAAAACTCTCAAGTTTGAAGTCAGAATTTAACAAAATTATGAAATAAAGGGGTTTTATTAAATTCCAATTTTGAACTTGAAATTGAGCGATTTTCTTTTCAAAACATGCAAAGAAGTAACTTTCAGACACAAACTGAAAGGAAAGCCCTCTCGAAACAACTATTTTCATGTAAACATTGATTTACACGAAAAAGAAAAAGTACCTATGAAACAAATCCTTTTATACGCATATTGAAATAAACAAAAAACACTTTTTTCCATACATTCTTTATGAAATTGAAACAGACATCATTCAAAGGATTGCTACACAATATAGCACATGATTGCTACACAATCATGTGTAGCAAGCCTGTGTAGCATATCTGAATTAATTCCATATTGAATGTTTGGAGTACAAACTGAATAGAAAAAAGTGCTTTTTGCATACTTCAATGTTCATATAAATTAGTTGTTTTTTTTGAAAGGCCTTTTTTTGGTCAAAATGTTCACATAATTTTTTTCGAAATCACCTTCAAATTGAGAAGAAACCATTTTGAACCCAGAAAACCAATATTTTTTTTACAGATATGAGCACCAAGAAATTGCTCTGAACTGTGGTACAATGTTACGAGAATGTGCCAGATATGAAGCTCTAGCAAAAATTATGTTATATTCTGACGACTTTTACAATTTCTTTCGATACGTTGAAGTTTCTACTTTTGATATTGCTTCGGATGCATTCTCCACCTTTAAGGTAAATCGCTTAGAAATGTTTGATGATAGTGCTACTAATCGTTCATTTTTTCAAGGAATTGCTAACCAGACATAAAATCTTGTGTGCAGATTTCTTAGAGGTGAATTACGACAAAGTTTTCGGACACTATCAACGTTTGTTAAACTCAGAGAATTATGTTACCCGACGCCAAAGTTTGAAATTGCTAGGAGAGTTACTGTTGGACAGACATAATTTTACGGTAAGGAAATAATTCATTCAAGCTAATGATAATACTCAGAACTTTCTGGTATCCATAATGTCAGTTAATTGCATTTCTTGGTTCAAGGTGATGACAAGGTATATTTCCAACCCTGATAATTTGAAATTAATGATGAATATGCTTAAAGAACGTTCCAAGAATATTCAATTTGAAGCCTTCCATGTATTCAAGGTAAATGTGTATATTGTACTAGAACTAATTTTAGAATTATCTTACATTATGAATTGTTTGGTGGCATGTTGTTTTGTGTTTGTGTGAAATTTTGGAAAAAAGAGTATCAACCGCAACATAAAAAACAAGCTGACATTCAATAAGTATGAATGAAAATGATTTATTGATAAGAATTCGATATACAGTGTGTGTTACTTGTCAGGAATTCACCCCATATCTTTGTTGTTTATAATGTAATTCCAAACATATTTGGAAAGTTGGTGTATATGCAAAATTCCGCCAAATTGACCAGAAAATTTATAGGTGAAATTTGTTTCTAAATTTAATTACAATATCTCCAAAAACCCATAGTTACGAAATAATTTCGAAAGAGCCCAAAAACAATAAAAAAAAAAAGTTGAAATTCGTGTTTTTCACTATTGAAAGTAATTGTAACTCCTTTTTGTAACTCCTATTCTTGCTGGAGGTAGCTATTTTCAACAATATGCTCAATTGCATTTTTCTTTTATTCCAATAATTACTTTGGCACATAATTTGGATAATATTGTTGGAAAAACAATTCTACTAAATTCGTTACTTCAGAAAACAGCCACAAAGAAGCTGTTCAACGAAGAGGGGCTGTGACGTCACCAGATATACGAAATGCGGCTCCTATAAATTGTTGAGAAAATTTATTACTTTTCAATAGTTGCCCATAATAAAATTAATATTTTTCATTGTTTTTGTACCGTCATTTCTCATGTATTGTGAACGATATGAAAAAAATAGCCTTAATGTTTTTCAAAAATGTATACATAGTTTTTAACCGGAAATTTATTGAAAATATCGTTTGAAAGATTAGCTTCATATGAAGCATTTTTTTAACATTTGAGCTATTACCGCATATATCTCTTGAGCTGTTTAGCATGTTTAGTTTGTTGGTGGGAGGCATAAAGTTGGCATAAAAATGGATCAAATAATTTGCATCAAATTTTGTGTAAAGAATGGAATCAAGTGCTCAAAAACACTCGAAATGTTGACAATGGCATACGGTGATTGTGCTTCGAGTCAGAAAAATATTTACGAGTGATAAAAGCTTTTCACAGAAGTTCCTTCCAAAATTGATTAATTGTTGAATGATATCCATCGGGATCCAGATTTACTTAAAAGGGTGGTAACTGGTGACAAATAATGGGTATATGGTTATGATATCAAAACCAAAGTTCGATCAAATTCTAAAATGTTGGTCAATGTTTTCTTCGATTAACGGTGGCGTAGTCCATTAGGATTTCTTGCCACACTGTCATTGCTTTATGTAATTTTTGGCCCAAAACAACACCACAATTATGCCTAAACTACATTATTCACCAGATTTTGTCCCCTGCGACTTTTTACTGTTCCCAATATTTGAAGTGACACTCTGCCTTTTCATCAAAATATGTTTTTACATATCTAGTATTAGATTTAATGTCATTTCCTTTGGAATTTGTGAATAAAGACATATTATTGTTATTGTATATGTTGAAGTTATTGTATTTTTGATAACTATACTTTTTTGTTGTGGTTAATAAAGACCTAATATTATTATTACAGTTGAATGGAAGAGTTCTGATTGTGTTACTCAAATGACAAGATCAGAAACTGAATTCTGCCTTTTGACAAAAATGTAGGATATCATTTAAGAACTGCCTGTTTTTTTTTATATCTACTATATGTTGTACTGCATTTTGTCAATAAAAGCAATTATCATTATTATTATCACCTGCATACAGTTGTTTCTTACAATGCTGTGTTTCATATCGAGCGAATGTGTTTAAAGTATGTGATGTAATTGGCCAATACTTGATGAAAATCCATACTCAATAACATTTTATTGTATCATTTTCACTGAATAGTTTCCAAAACTGCAACACGTGTTCCACCATACTACAGCTTTCTTGGTCTGAGGAAACTATCAAATAGCGAAACACGTGTTGCAGTCTTGCAAACTGTTCAGTGAAAATCTCACAATAAAGTATTACTCAAATGTGTATGACATGTATAATGAATGATATAAGTAAATCAATGAACTAATTTATTTGTTCTTCCAGGTCTTTGTTGCCAATCCCAACAAGCCGAGACCAATCCTAGATATTCTCCTACGAAATAAAGAGAAGCTCGTGGAATTTCTCGTAAAATTTCATACGGAGAGGGCCGAAGACGAACAATTCAATGACGAAAAGGCTTACCTGATCAGACAAATACGGGAATTGAGACCTTTACCAGAACATTAACACATTTAAACATATTCTACTTGTCAATATTTTTATCGCTACTCATTTTAATTTGCAAAAATCAACTAGACATATCTCCAGCTCCATTGAGACTCCTATTAAAATATAGAGTAATAGATAGGCTGTTTTGCTGAACATCACAACTCACCTTCCCCTTTCGATCTGAGCAAGAAATTCACCATACTGGGTGATCCAAAATTAACTCAGAACTTCAGCAATGATAGTTTATGATTGGATTTTGGAAAAGAAACTGACACTCTACACTCTGGTACGAGCTTTTTAATGTTTCGTAAATTGTATTGTTTGCTCAAAATTATTTCGGTGGGCGTTTTCGAGAGTTTTGATGAAGTATCACATTCCTTAGAGAGGAAAATAACTACAGGGTTGTGCATTTCTGCCACAGATAACCTTCAAAACTGTGCCTAAATAGTAGAAATGTGGATGTATGATTGCTTTTTTTAACCGAAGAACCGAGAGTTTTTATAAGAGATCGCAAGAACTTTGACCACTCAGTGTATTAGAAATTTAGTGTAATTTGGCTTAATACCTGCTTCTTTCCGGTTCGGAGAAAATTTCGAAACGAATTTAGAAAATAGGCGCCTCAACATATATCTTAATCCTAAATCGTTGTTGAATGGCAGGGTGAAGTTCTTTGTTTAAAATACTGATAACAATCTTATTCCTATTGGTGTATTTACGTTAACCTATACTGTATAATTTTTTCTAGTTGGTTTTTGTGTTTTTAATTGAGTTATTATTTTATGCGTAATTCCTGCCAACTATTATGGTCGAATTAAGTATGAATGTTAGGTTTCTGTGAAATTTATTGAATTATGGTAATATTGTATTTATATTGAATATTTAAAAATAAAAACTGATAGATTGTTTCTGTAGTTTTTTCTCCGCGCCGATAAAAATTCTACACATTGAGTTTCCATTAAAAGTTTGAGGTGAATTTATCGAAAGATTTCTTCAACAAAAGTTTTAGAAACCAATTCATTGCGATTTTTTTTAAATTTTTTACTAATATGCAGGAATTCACTTGGTTATTGGTTGAAAAAATCGAATATAAAATTTAAAAATCAAACTAATTTCACTGTCAAATATAATTTGAAATTTCATCAAATAGATAGATAGTATTTTTGACCACTTAAATGTAAGTCTGTTCAAAAAAGGTGAATTTCTAATCTTCATCTTCATATTAGGGGGGCATCAAACTACACTGTATGCAAATAAGTATTGCAATAATGCTCCAATTCATGTGATTAAATGATAAATAATGCATATCAAAATAAATTTAATAATTTTCATCAACACCTAAGCATTCAACAAATTTCAAGGAACCAGCAGTCGGCGATTTCGTTTTCATAGAAACCTCGAATGTTCAACTTTTGGTCATAACTAAAATCGAATTATATCAAAAGGAAATTGTGCATGTCTCGCCGTCTCCATCACTTTGAATAATTGAAAAATCAAACTTGCAAGATCGTATTTAGACCTAAATCTATCTTAGATGATACATCTATACCAAATGAAAGGCATTACTTTGTGCAGGCTGCAAGAATCTTCTGGGTTTCTTTGGGTATTTCACTTTCCACCATCTGAAAAATAAAAACTGTAATTGAGAATTGTATGCATATGTATAAACAGCAAACAATCAATAGAAAATTCTTAGTCAAAATGTTGATTCCAACAGCATATTCTATTTTACATTCTGCCAAGCTTTGAAGTTTTTTTTGAACTATTATTTTATTTATCCCAAGAAACAAATGTGTTTTTATTAGGAATTACAGCAGATTTTATGATTGATTCTGCCGTTACTTGATGAAGATCCATAGTGATTTCATAAACTACATCTCACGATTTGTGAGATGTAGGTGAGGTGTAGTTTATGAAATTCCAGTAGAATATACATTGAAAAAACTGTATACATCCTGAATTGAGAGAAAAGAAAGGAAGAGGTAATAAGAAAAGGGAAAGAACCAGAAGAAGGTCCGGATTTCCCAACATGCATAACTTGGATATCCCATTCTTTGAAATTCTGAGTTGTTTGCAAACTTCAAAAAAGTTTAGTTTCTCCCAAGTAAGAGAACAGTCCACACATTTTTAAGTGACAATTTTACGAAATTCCCAACTTTTCGCTGTTTTTTCGACTTGGAAAAGTTGGGAAATTTCGGGCCGTGAAGACAGAAAAAAAATAATAGTAGAAAACAATAAGCACAATATTATTTAAGTGTTGTTTCCTTTTATTTGTATTGAATATTCCTATACATGGTGAAAGACCAAGGACCTTGGTCCAAATAAGAATATAATTTCCATTATTATTATTACCAAAATTTATTTTTGTTTGTGTATACCCTATCGGGCATAAGCATTCAGCCAATCTTTGGATAGCTAAGTAAGGCAATTAATATATTATAGTAGTAACTAATCCCTCGGTTTTCATATTTTGGAAAGTTGGGAAATTTTGCTGGTGGCATTGGGAAAATTTGGATTCCCTCCCTTCCTGGTTTTTCTTTTCGCTACGGCCCTGCATGTATGTAACTGTTTCAGCTACTATTATATTTACTTATAGGTTTTTTTTATATTACAGCTCTCGGTAAGAAAGCTGGGGCAGCTAAAAAGAAAATTACTTTTTTACACAGCGAATCCCCGAAAAATCACTGTCTTCCACAAAAACAACAATATTTTACTAAAAAATTGTTTTTATTTCAAAAATAATCATTTTTAACTGATTAAAATTATTTACAAAAAAATTATAAATCTTCAATGGTGAGATGAGTTTATTTCTCGAATAGAAACGTTTTTAATAATGAAAGTTCAATTATGCATAACAATACCTTGGTTTAATGAAGATCATCACATATGAAATTATAGGCAACACTGTCACAAGCTATAGCCAACAATACCACAAGCTTATAGGCAACACTGACAAGCACATAGGCAACACAATTGTGGACGTCTTTAGTTTTTTTATTTTGGAATTTTTGTGACCAGTAAACATTTCGTGTATAAATATTAGGTACATATTCCTATTTTATGAAGACTTTGAATATCAAAAAGATTTTGATTATAAAAATGTAGTCAGTTCCAGACGGCATAATTCATAAATAAATTTCATTCCTTTGTTTTGTAATTTCTTTAAAACTATTTTGGGTGGCAGAGCCCCCAATGGAGATCAGGTATTTAAATTTAGAGTAAATAAGTGAAAAACAAGTATTTTTACAATAAATTAATGGGACATACATCCTCATTTTGTACAAAATACCTAATAGGGGAATAATTTTATCTTTTATTTTTTGTATATGTACCTTCCAATTCAAAATGTCATCAATATAGTCACCAAGTAATCGAGTAGTAGTTACTTCATGTAACTGAAGATCAATTCGAACATATTTATGTATAACAACGTTTTTTTTGTATCATCAGCAAACAGTTTTACCTGTCCCTTCAGTTTCAAATTTGATATTGACTTTGTATAGATTAAAAATAGTGTTGGGCCTAATATAGAGCTCAATTTTTAAAAAAATTCTGTTTTCTAAGTAATTTTAAAACCATTTAAAAACTTTTCCCCTGGTGCCAACATTCGGAATAAACATACTTCATGGTGGTAGAACACAATATCAATAGGTCTTGGATCTTAATATATGTATCTAGAATACTTACATGTAAAGCGAGAACAATAATAATTGAAAACAAATAGGTATGACAATATTTGCTAACATTGGATGTAGTGTGAAACATTTATATTATTTGACATATCTCATTTCCAAAGTTAACTGTGGCTATGAATAACATAATAGTACGATCCAAAGAGAGGTTGTCCACCCATAAACACATACCTAACTTTCATTAAATTTGATCAATACATCTTGAATGTATTATCCATCAAAATATGTTCATAACTAACTTTAAAAAAAGTTTTTGCCATGTTTCACCCAGTTATGAAAAAAATATTCGGATAATTTTCAAAGAACTATTTGAGGCACACAAAATTGATTTATCATTTTTCTTACTAAGAACTGAAGCTACAAAAAAATAAAAAAATGTTTCAAGAAATGATACCTCGTAAATATTGGATAAATTGGGTTTTTTTACAAGTGAGCAGAAGAAATATGAAGGTACTTTGTAGTGCTTCAGTGTCAGAGTAAAAAAAAATATTAAATTCAGTGTGCATCAGGGCTCGATCCTCGGCCCTCTACTTTTTCACCTGTTTGTAAATGACTTACCTCACCTAACTGTATTGGGACAAAATGTTAAGCAACTTATCTGCAAATAGTATTGTCAACCAGTTCGGTGAATTGTGTCTAAGAAATAAACTTATTTTGAATACTTCCAAGTGAGTATCGATGAAATTCCATTTCAAAACTATTACTTCAGAAGATTATATCATAAACGACATTAAAAACTCTAGGTACTTACTTGTATGATAATCTTAACTGGGATAAATAAGTAGATCAAACATGTTCAAAGATCAATGAAGAATACTAAGTATGCCATAAAGCAGCTAAAATCGAAAGAACCAGGATTACTCAGCATTTATTGAGATGGTATATCATCATATCAATTTTAATCTTATGATTTAGGGTAGATTGAAGTTCTTCATGGAAGTTTACGGCCCAGAAAAGGATAACGAGGCTTGTACTCAATATGATTTACAGTGACAGTTGCCTATATCTAACTTCATAGAGAAAAAAATCCCAACAGCGCCTTCCTTCTTTATTTTGTAGTGGTAGTGGTCGACCTACAGTAGTCTAGGACGAGGATTTGAGAACCCTGGTGAAGACTGGCCCTTCACAAATGGTGCGTAGGATGACAGAAGAACTGGGCGTAAACTCCCATGTGGTTTAAAATGTGTTGGAAAGGACAAAAAGCTCGAAAAGTTGCTGCTCCACGATTGACAGAAATTATCATGTTTCGAGGTCTGTTCTTTGCTTCAAGATGTAACTTTCGTCCTCACAATCAACGCACATACTACTGATGATGACTGTCGCTATAGCAGACGTAATGTTTGGTACTACAAGTTCTATTCGACCACCTACCAGCCCAGATTTTGTTCTCTTCAATCGTGACTAAGGCCGTGAAAGTCTGTATTCTTATAAAGTTCTATATTTATATTTACTTTTCAATGTTAATTTTCAATTTTTGTTTGATTTCATCTCAAATATTATTCACTATCAAAATGTCATAAGTAGTAACCAGAGTTGAAATTTTCAGCCATAGTTATGGCTGAAACAGCAAAGTCTCACAGTAGTTTCCTTCCTCAGTGAACGTAGTATGTAGTCATGGCATTGTATCACATTCACTTTATCATAATCGGTTCTTCGGCCATTTACAATTGTCAAAATACTGTTACGAATAGCAGAACCTAACCTATTAACTCATTAGTTAAATATATTCCTTTATTGACTATGAAGAACATATTTGTAGCTAGTTGGCATCCAGAGTTTTTAATAGATAAATACATTACAGCTTCAAGGTAAACGTTCAAATTTAAGTTCACAAGACAAATAATAAAAAAATATTGAACATTATCATGATTCAGATCTTTTAGAACTACCATGTAAGCATGTCATTCAATCCTTGCAATTCTTGAAGACACAGAAATGAATAGAAAGCCAGGTTCATAGAAATATCGGGTATTTTCGATGAAAAATGTACTTCCTGGAATATTGACAAAAACTTCAAAGTGAAGTATGACCGAAGGAACAGGAAGTGAGACAGTTTTTCAAAATAATACTTTATTGGATAAATATGATTTTTTTTATTGTTTGGATCAATCATTTACATGAAAAAGCACACAAAATTATAACTGAAACCCAGGCAGAGTTGAAAATCCAATACTTTATTAACTGTCAATCAATTAATACACAATAGTGGGCTGGAGGTATAAAGTAGATTACTAACTTGCAATCGACAAAATAAATTTAATAAAACTACTCAACAGAACTTCCATCTGTTACCACATTCATTACACAGCACGAACGTCGTCATAGGTTCATCAGACGACCTAGTCTGCAGCTGATTGTATGTGCAGTTCTTCTTCTTGCATTTGCCGCACTTGAGCATTTCCGTTTTGGTACCTTGAACCGTAGCTAATTGGGCATCATTGATCGCTTCTTTCAAGAATCTCTCTCGAAGCTGCTTAACCTCGTCATTTGCCATTTCCTCGGCAGTCATCACAGCCAATCGGGACGCTGTTATAGCGCCAATTCGGAAATTTGTCCGCAGGGTAGGATTTTTAACATCTTTCAGGTTCGATATTCTGGATCTGACTCTGTTTTTGTATCTCATGTCGGTATTCTTGAATTCCAAAAAGATTGCTTCCTCCAATTCTTCGGCGAGTTCTTCAGCTGAAGCACAACCTTTAAAAAACAAGTTCATTTGAATCCTTCCTTAAAATGTATATAAAGATATATAGCATCTTTGGGCGTCACAATACTGTTTGTAGCAATTCTGTGTTTTGCTTTTTTAGTAATTTGAATCATCCTGTCCTAATTATCAATTTCCCCAAACTAAACTAAATTTCTTCAAACTCAATTCAATAAAGTGAATCAATTCAAATATATTTGATCATTGAGCAATAATCCTGAATTTTTAGAACTATTGATTTCTAAACATTCTTTCACTTCTACTATTAATAATATAGCTCGTTTTTCAAAAGGCAAAGAATTGGATGTAGGCTACAGAACAAATAATAATTTGAGTAAATTCATTAAAACCAATAAAGATAAAACTCCAGTGACTTATAGTTCTTGTCAAACATTTTATAACATACAAACCGGTAGAGCATAGAAGTAGTTTTTTGAATGGAAAGACCAATTCAACATTTGCGAATCATCTTTTGACAGAGTCCATCACTATCATGATGTATTGCATTTAGAAGAGAAATGTTCAAAACTCAGTGTTTTAGAAACCTTTTGTAAACTTTGAAGTGGAATTCTCACATTAAAGTGAGTTTTTTTAATGCATTGTTCAATGTACTTTTTACTGTTTTTCATCATGTTAACTTATTTCTTACCTTCAAAATCTTCAGGTTTCGAATCGGTTTTGAGGGCAGCAGCCAACATCTCTCGACACTTCAGCCTAACGGAATCTGTGGTATTGGAACTAGGTGGGAACTGTTTTGGCAATGGTCGCTCTTTATCTCTTTCCCGTTCTTCACGCACTGTTTTATCCTCTTTTTCTTTTTTGGGCTTTGAAGAACTGCTACTAGAAGATTTGCCACTAGAGGTAGTAGTACTGCCAGACAGAAATTTTTTCCAATTTTTTATCAATGTTTTGGACAAACTGATCACTTCATCATCTTTACTCGACTTCCTCAATGCATTAACAGTCATTCCTATACGTGTGTTGGTCAATACTTCCAAATTGATGTTTAAAGTCTGTAGTTCTTTAAGCAGGTCTAATGCTTGTTCTTGACCCTATCAAAAAAGTCATGATCAGAGTAATATCACAAAGTAAGTATTACATTACAGATTATTATAGTCACTATAATCGAAATTAATGAATACCAAACTGATTTAGATTCATTGTAAAACAGGAATTACCAAAAAGAAGGTTTGAATTAGGTTTATTTTTATACAAAACTTAACCTACACTTCCATCTTCTGACGTCATTTTATTTAATTTTTTTTGTATACGCATAACATCTTCCTCCACGCTCATTTTGAGGAATATTTATTTGTTCCTCACGAAATCAATACAATTATTTTAGTTTGCTACACACGTTGAATAAATATTCTCTATCTTCTTGGGACGACGCTTTTTGTTACAAGTACGTTGCGAACTTGTCAAACTGAAAACCAGAGAACACGAAAACTGGCTTTTGTGGTCACTTCTGTCACAGAATACTAAACTTATAGGTTCGTTCCAACCAGCGTCAGAAACAGTTTCTGACAGTCAGGATTGTGCGCAGTAATGTGATTGCGTTCCAACGTGAGTTTCCAACCATTAGTAAACTACTATCAGTTTTCTGTTCCATCCAAGATTCAAACCTGTTCGAAATCTATCAGAATGGTTTGAGGATTATCTTCTAACCATTAATCTGACGCATGCGTATTCCGTATTACTGTTTCTGTTTTATGTTCATGCAACTTGCAAACAACATAACCTGCAAAAATCGTAATAAAATAAATTATTTATTTGCTGGCGCTAGAAAAATTAGGAATTCTTTAAGTGAACCTAAAATATGAACATCTTTAATTACACAAATTAATTATTGCGGTGACCTACTTTTACCTCCCAGTTCCATGTTGATTAGTAAATAGAATAGAGATATAAAATACTTCAACCTTCTTTTACTCTTATTTGCTTGTATATACGGAAAACTGATTTAAAAGAAGCTGTACAAAATATCAATATATCTTTAAAGATCATTGAATTGTATTTACAAGTGAATAAACTCAAATTGAATATCAATAAATCTAAGGCAATGATGGTTACAACAAATTCGAATCAAAAAAAGATTGAATTGATACTAACGACGTTAATATCAGCATATTCAATAATCAACTCACAATTGTAAATGAAATTAAGTACCTAGGATTCATTATACACCATCAATTAAATTTGAATAAGCATGCCGAATATACCATTAGAAAGATATGTAAGAAAAAGTATTTTTTCTCTAGAATTTCAAAATCTTTATCAACCTTTGCTAGACTAACATATTATAACTGCATAATGAGGCCACACTTTGACTACTGCGCCACACTGATGTATGTATTCAATCAAAATCAAATGGGACAGTTGCAGAAACTACAAAATCGAGGTATGAGAATCATTTTGAGATGCAACCAGTATACCTCTATTGAATCTATGTTGAATACTCTACAGTGGCAGCCGGTACATAAAAGAATGTATTATTTGAGCATGATTTTTATTTTCAAAATTTCGAGTAGGATACAAACAGCCTATCTTAGCAGATATTTACTTCGAAATAGTGATCAGCAGCAAGTTGACAGCAGACGCCCGTTTTGACATTTGTGAACGTCCGTGTACGTGTAGTAGAGTATTTCTTATGGGCGGCTTGGATTCACTGAAACGCGACCGCTATTGTGTGGTCGATCCGACCGCAAAATGTGGCTCGTGTATGGGCGCTCTTACTTTTTTGCATGATCTACATATCCATGTATAGAGTTACCTATTTTCAAATTGATTATTACTTCCTTCCTTTCTTTGGAAGATTCCCTCATCTCTTTTTTTGTATCAAGATGGAGTAGTAGAAAGCCAAAAACTTGAATGACTCACAGAAGAATCACTAATCTGACAGCATTTTAATATTGAGGGGTCAAATTTCGGAATCTCTATCCTGCGTTGCGGTTGTTTAATGTCGTTTTTCAGCGATGAATTCAAATTATTGGATATATATTTTAATTGCAGTCGAGAAATTATCAGGTTGATGCGTCAACATTTTATCTAAACAGGCTTTATTTCACCATGTTCACGTTCACTACTAAACGAAAATTTCCAGGTTGGGAATGTAATCACCTCAAAATTGTTAAAAATTCGTGGTTTCTGTTTCGTGCTATAACGGATATATCAAAATTTTAGCTCTATCTCGAGCAATATAAGAGTATTTGATGATCTGATCATCACCCTTCCTTTGGGGCATTCAGATGTATCACTAAAAGTGTCACGCGTATTTTGTTCGATCTTCAATTTATTGTCCAAAATGTAAGAAAATCTTTCCAAATGTAAACAACATCGAAATTTGAAGTACTAACTTGACATTGTTATTCTCACTTGAGGTGTAATCAGCACCTCTGTGAATATAATGATGAAATTTATTAGATCTCGCTATCATTTTCCTATCAAGAGTGCCATAGGAGAAAATATTTTACATAGGGGAGGGATATTCTAAGGGATATTTTATGCATCTTGATATCTACTGTGATAACCGACAAGTCACAAAGCTCCAAGTAGGGAAATATGAAACTTGCCTTTTTCTGTTTTTCACTTATGGAACTGTTCTGTGACTGAGGGGTTCTGGGCATTGATTCTGCATTAATTCGGCAGGTTCGAAATTCATAAGCAAAACCAACCTATCGAAGCCTTAAATAGCATAGGATGTATTCTCTAAAAGCAAAGACAAACATATGCATGCTATGAACTGAGATAGCATGCCATATGCCATAGACATGACAATATCGACTAGCCGTTACGTCACTTTTACATATATACCACTGCGGATTACAAAGTTTTGGAAATGACGTCATTGCATGTAAAAACGTGCTTATGACTACGTCATTAGTAATATGGATTGCATACTTGGTAATCTCTATAGTCGTTTAAATGTACCGAAATAATGAAACAAGCACAGTAAATCATTTCAGTTGTATTTGCCATTTTTTTGCTATTCGATTCATTTAGGACAAAGAAATTAAATATTTGTCTGTTACTTCTTCAATTGGTCAGTCAGAGACGTACTGACGACATTGACTAAACAGAATTGAGAATACTTAGAACTTGTTTACTATTCTGTGACAGTGTATTTGAGTGTATCTTATAAAAATATGAGTTATTACACTGTGACTTTGTTTACGTTTAGGAAAACAAATTCTTGTTTTTCAATGTAAATTATAGCTGTAGGTTTTGTTAAAGCTACTACCCAATAATAGTATGAGGCAAGTGAAATTTCCATAAATATAAAATATTTTACTGTATTAACAGAAATATAAACATCATTGTTGCTTACAATTTAAAAAAAATATTTTGGTTTGAGAACTTATCTTTCTTGTAGTTCATCAAAATATATATTGCATTACGTCACTTCATCATCATCTACTTTCAGATATGAGAATGACATTTTTACCAGAATAAATTACAATGGAATCTAGGGAAACCTCGGAATTGCAGCAGTTGGTGTCCAGTGATGCAGAAAATGAAGATAGTATTGTTCAAGACGAAGTGGAAGGGAAAGTCATATCACCCATCAAAAGTAGCAAAGTGGTAATAAATATAAATTATATACTTGTTAGTAGTAAACTAAAAATAAATTCGACATTAGATATATTTTGACACTAGTTGAATTTATATTCTGCAGATTTCTTCGTCTGGAAACACAAGTCGTAGTTCTGTTGCCCACAGCATAAGAAGAGGTCAAAGTGGAGTACCAACAGGTTCCAAAATCACATTTGTTAATGAAAGAAAAATTAGAGATACTAACAGGGGAAGCGCAGTACGGCCAAGAAACACAGATAAAGGTATTTGAGTACTCCATTACTTTTTCAGTTGAGATAACTTTTCATTATATCAATTAAGTATGAATTAACATGTTCAATACCATGTAGTTGGTTTATAGAACGAATAACTTCAATCAATTTAGAAGGAAGCAATAGTGAGAGTATTTTATTTAATCGATTACGCTGATATGTAATAATTCCTCGCATGTTTTTATTTATTTTCTAGTTTTCTTTTGTTTACACTTTTTTTTCTTCATTTCGACACCCTGTAGATAAACCTCACACAGATATTCCACACCATTCTTTTATGTCTCAAGTGCCAGACGTACGACACATGGAGAGGGCCCTCCTTGGCCTACTAGGAGACTTCCATTCCGGCAAACTACGGGCGTTCGGAAGCGGCTGCACCATGGAGCAGATGACTAACATACGAGAACAGCAGGAAAAACTGGCAAAGCTACATTTTGACTTGGGATCAGCGACAGTGCCCAGTCTGAATGACGATGACATTCAGCGGTCTCAAAACACAATGAGTGAACTCATACAAAGACTAGAACAGCTTAGTGTTTCGATTGAAGCACTGCACAATAACAGTTCGGTCAAATAGTGGACTTCAGGGAAAAAGTAGAATTCTAGAAGTTTATACAGGTTGAGAGCCCTTTCGATAAACATATCAATAGGGTAAACCCTAAATAATTTCAGTTGATAGTTACTGAAGCAAATTATGGATCAGTAAGTTGAATGTTGTATCTATTTCCATGAAGATATTCTAATTTTAATGTATCATTTAATTTATGTGGTGGACAAGTATTCTTTAGAATATTCTATATGCCAATAATCAGCCCCAAAAATGTTCAAGTATCTTGCCATGATTCGTACTACTAGCCCATGTTTCTCTATTCAGGATATTTAGGCAAATTTTTGTGATATTATATTTTGATAATTGTAAGTTGTTGATTTTGAAGTTTATTGAAAATGTGTTTTAAAATATGAATAGGTACTGTTCAAGCAAGATTGTATAAGAGGTACACTGAGCTTTGAACAATTTTTATTGAGCTTATTTCATAATTTTCTTTTATAATAGTGGGGACAGGGGATTTTTGTGTTCTGTAATAAAATAATTTTTATATATAAATATGTATATTTGGTGAAATAAATAGATAATAAATCAAATTAGGTGTTTTTCAACATTCCAAGAATTTGAAAAAATAAAAAATTCAACTTGAAACAATTTTTATTGTTTTATAAAAATCATTTATAAATTTATTTTGAATATCGTTTTCAGTTCACATTTTTATTTTGTGGGTGTGTTTGTGTGTAGTCAATTATACATGACCGTAGCTCTAGTTCAGTAAATTACATAATGAACATTATGCATCTCCTTTTGAAAACTCAAATTATCTATTTCGAGTTCCTGATGGCCCTGGATCCGTTCTCCTTCTCTCTAAAATTCAGAAACATAAATTTAGATTGAGACAAGTAAAAAAATTTGTTCATAGTAAAAAAGTGGATGTGTAGTAACACTTGATCCAAGTAAAAACTTTCCAGATGATGGATGTTAGAATCATAGTTGTAATGACAACATATGTCATATGCTCATGTAAATGTGGTCATTACTATTTGAGCTCAATGTTTTCTGTTATTTAATGTTAGTGAAAGAAAGTAGTAGTTTTAATAATAGACTCTTATTCGATTCATATGTGACAAATTCTGGATAAACTAGAAAGTTTTTGTGTATATATCTATGTTATATCTGGGAGATATAATATAGACTACCTAGAACTGAAAGCTAATGATCTTATCAGTTGAAGCTGTTGACACTAAAAATAATATCCGGTTGTTTTCCATATTGTCGATTATACTGTATGTCTTAGTTTAGAGTTTTTCCAATTATGGAGGTTGTCAACCGTCTGAATATCAATATATTTCAGACTATATTGGGGATGATACACGACTGATTGTTATAGAGAGCACTCAAATCTGATGATTATATAGAATTGAATTTACCAAATAAGCTAATTCAAACTTGTATAGTTCATAAAAAATAACTGAAATTTTTTCCGAGATTCAACAAGGCATTTGACACTTACTTATTTTGTTTTCAGCAGCATCTGAGGCAGAAACAAACGTTCTTTGCAATTTGGTCTTTTTAATATCTCTGTACTTTTGCGCAACATCCTTGGAAAGTTCAGCAACTCTAACCATTAATGGTGCAGGGTAACTAAAATATACAATTGTTAAATATGAAAATAACACGACCCTTAATGCGAACTCACCTGCATCCCATGAATTCTATATTTGTGAAAGCCTTTGCTAGTGCAACAAGATAGTCTTCAGAAAATTTACCCTTATGTACTCTCATAAATTCTCTTCTTAGTTCCCAATGTTCGTCTGGGTCGGTATCATCTTTATATTGGTCAATATCCCAGTCAGTAGGAAAAGTCTTCGACATTTCAAATTTAGTTCAAATATCAACAATAAACACTAAAGGTGCAACTAACCTTAACATATGAATATATATACATATATATATATATAAATATATCAATTTTTACTCTTCTTCTCTATTTGGTCTTTATCTTTTTTGGAACAACCTGCCAGCTAAGAGAAACTACAATGAACCTTTACACTGATATTGTGATAACCGCATAGGTGAAAACTACTTTTATAATGATTAGTACCTCGTTTAATATTTTTTGAAATTGTTTTGTCAATAACTTTTCCAAAATTGAGTAAAACATCATATGAAATTTGTCTCAGAATTTCCCCATTAAAAGCATGAACTTTTGTCATTTCCAGAGTAACAGTCATTATTGATCTCTTGAACAGTAATATATCATGTGTTCTCATGAAATGTTGAGAATACATCAGAACAATAAGGTCACTTTGAAAACAATTATGGAATATAACTAGATGAGAATACCAATCAAGGTTGACGTCATCGCCTGATGACACAGTTCTGGTGAATGAGAAATATTTTTGCTAGATTCAAGTTCTACCTTTCATTAGGTAATAGGTATATTTAAAAAACGACACACCGAAGTTTTTTATCAGTTTTTTATCATATCAGTCAGAGGAGGTGTTCCGAACTGATTAATTCGAAATATATATTCAGTAGATCGAATCCGAACAGCTTTAGAGTTGTCCCACTGTAATACAGAGTATTAACGAATTATTTTTTACTCCAGTGTCAACTGAACCATTGTCTTTTTTTATTTTTGTCAGGTAATTAATAAACATCTGAGTAAACCAATTAATATAAGAATTTTCTTTGATTTTTGTCTGCTTTATTCTATTGTTCTCCTTCTATTTAGTTTTTAATTAGTAGTTTGGAGGGAGCAAGAACAAGTTTTAGATAAACAATAGAACAAAAGGATTAATTGTTAGGTAACAATTCTATTTAAAAATCTGCAACTATATGGCACTACACAGGTTAAAACTAAATGTCTACAGGTTTGTTTTGCAAATTAACATCTTCTTCTACTTGGGTACCCTCTATTAAAACATGCCTTTGCAGCATTTCTTGCATTCTGAGCATTTCAAACTTTGTTTTAGAAAACTTATATCTGCACTGTATCCAATAGACCATAGTGATAAATGAAAATGAATATACTGCGAAATTCACAGACTTGAGAGGTTGACTGGTAAACATAAATCTTGCCAATCCTGAACACAATCCTCCTCCAATACCATACAATATACTGTTACGAAAACATGGTATTTTTGAAACATCTCGTCCAAAAATAAATAGTGTCTGAAACCAAATATAGAATGAAGAGAAGTTAATTTTATTTATTATTAAATGAGGATACTTCATAACTTTGAATCAGATATTCAAATTCACCTTCTTAATATCTACTGATGTTACACAATTAAAAATTGTCCATTTTCAATGGAAGTTATGAGGTATCCTCCTACTTCTAAAAGAACAGATACCTTTTCATTATTGTCTACTTGATCTGTCATGTTTATTGAGTGATATCAAAAGTACTTTTTTTCATTTACATTACGACTCCTCAACCATTTATTTATATTCTATTCTGAATAACTCAAATGATATGTCTTCAACTTGGAGGTTATGATCATTTTTTGTCTTCCTCTAGTTTGGCCTCCTCTGTCAAAGTAAATAACCATGTTTTTCAATGAAAGTATGTTCTGATTGCGACCTCTGTCAGAAATATTGGAACTTTTGAAAGGAGTCAATTTAAAAAAAATCTTTATTCATTAAAGATATCGTAAATCAAATGCAATGCTGTAACTCACTTCACAGTAAACCTTTAGGGGTGGGAATTACCATCATTATCAATTATATTAGACGGGAATCTTATAAATGAATATACCGGGTGGCAACGAAATCCTAATGGACGGCGCCAATCATTTTTCCGGAGAAATAAATTCATAGAATAAGTATAATTGAATGTTACAAGTACGGCCTTCTATTGTCTGAATGTTGTTAACAGGTTTTAAATCTGTTGAAGAACAAATGAAACGAAATTTAATTGAATGCTAAAATTATTGAAAATACTCGGACCGAAATACTCGACTGAGTTAAATTAAAATTAAAAGCAATGTCATCTGAAAACGATTGAGGATACTAACATTTGAAACGCCGTGAAGTTACTTGATTTGGAATCTTGTTCTCAATTTGAGTTTTTTGGTATTGATTTGGTATTGATTATTATTTTATTCTTCCCTATTTTCATTGTCTGCGTATAATTGAGATTTAACTTTTTCAGAGCCATTATCAATTCACTTTAATTTCAGGTAACGATAATTTGTTTTATTTACAAATTAGCGTTCTTAGCAATGCTATTCTTTTTTGTTTATTTTTTGACATTACTTTTCTTTTCAACTAACACAATCGAATATATTTAATAATTCCAAAATTCAATTCAAGTTTATTTCATTTGTTCTTTCATTGTCATTGCCAACGTCTTTCAAATGAACATATAGTTACATGGAGCCTACATTTCTTATAAAAATAACAATTGAAAACCTATTCGAGTAAAACTTTATTGTGAGATTTTTCACCAAACAGTTGGCGTTCTATACGATTCTAATCAAAATTCTTGACTAGTTCATTTGTTGTTGAACCGATTAAAAATATCGACTCCGAGAAACTAGGTTTATCTTTGTTATGAATATTGCATTTCCTACCCTAAAAACAACTGAATGGCCCCCTGTACAATGATTTCGTTATCACCCGGTATGACATTAATTACATTGAATTTTTGCATGCATCAGACATCGTGCAAATATTCTAATCCATTTATCAGTTATAAAGTACATACTGACATTCTCTATATTCGGTACTGTAAGTTAAATACTGGAATGAATTTTGATTTTCCAATTTCTCACGAAAGTGTATTTCGAAATCAAATAAAAATATATTGAAAAGGTTGGGACCTGTAAACATTTGTATCTCCAAAACATGTGTGTTGAAAAGAGTAACTTTTTAAAAGAGGTAAGTAATAACAGCATATTCCTTTGTTAATCTGAACTATCTCTCAAATTCGTTAGAAAATGCTATATATTTTCCACTGTGGCGAGAATCACACGTTGAAAGGCAAGACCTCGTTAATTTTTAGCTCGTGCAAATTTCGATTTTCGAAAGTTCGTAAGATTACGAAAGCTGGTCAACGAAATAACTATTCAAATACAATTAAAATTGTGTATATTTATTATACGAGGGATGTTCAAAAAATTTAGTAAACTTTCATTTTTCTCAAAAAATTTTTAATTGTTCATCAATTTTCATTTTGCCCCCTTCAAAGTAGTCCCCTCCAGATATAATAAATACACTTGTGCAAGTCTGGAAGCAGTTCTGATATGTACTTTTTGGTATGTCCTTGAGCTCCCTCAGCGATTCAGTATTTATGTCTTCAATCGCTGCAAAACGCCGTCTTTCATGGGTTTTCCCAATCTTGGGAACAGAAAAAAGTCGCAGGGGGGCAAATCTGGTGAATACGGTGACTGAGGCATGATTACGGTGTTGTTTTTGGCCAAAAAATTGCAAACAAGCAATGACGTCCACTGGGACGATTGGACTTTGGTTGGATTCGTCACCAGTTATGACCCAATTTTTGAACAAACTTCGCTGTCACACGTTTCATACCCTAAAGTTCCAAAAAAATTGCATGGCATGAGCCAACTAATATGCCGGCATCCACAGCCACTTCTCTAATAGTCATTTGACGATTCTCCATAACAATTTTCTTCACTTTCTCAACATTTTCATCGGTTGTTTATATGCTGGGGAGTTCAGGGCGTGAGTCGTCATTCACATCTCGACCTTTTGTGAAAAGCTTGTATAACTTGTAAACATTTTTGTAACTCAGAGTACAATTACCGTATGCCACTGTCAACATTCCAAGTGTTTTTGAGCACATGATCCCATTTTTATATTTACTAAATACTGGGTAAATATATATATTTTTTTTCAGAATCCCACGATAAACGCATTTTTTCTTGGATCATTTTCAGGGAGTATTTCAGCAATATTACTTCAGCCACTTGATGTAGTGAAAACTCGTTTGCAAAATCCCTCGCAAGTGATGAAGTGAGTATTCCATTGATAAAAGCGGAAAAATAAAATTAATATTTCATATACTGCATACCTATCTGTGATAAAACAGTATGTTTTTACTCATTTTCAAAATTCTTCTTGCAGAGGATCTAGTGAATATCAAGGCATGTCAGCTACTTTCCTAAAAATCGTCCAAAAGGAACGGTTGAGGGGCTTGTGGAAGGGAACTATACCAGTGAGTAGTGTATTGATCCAAAATTATCGTAATTTTATACGTTCCTGTGTTTTTAGTCCCTAACAAGATCAGTTCCTGGTGTTGGTTTGTATTTCAGCTCTCTACATTACATGAGAACTCAATTCTTGAATGACAGAGTTGCAAATCCATTTGAATCCATAATAATGGGTATAGTTGCCAGGAGTTTTGCTGAAGCAACTCTAATGCCTATTACTGTTATCAAAACAAGGTATAGTATTAAATAAATTGATGGATGTAGCCGTTACTACGTGGTATATGAACTCATAATGAAGAAAAGAGAAATGAAACTTTTTTTCATTTCTCTTTTCTTCGTATAGCATTAACATGATTCATCAACAAATACAGTGCCAAATCTGGAACAGGACCAGATATCAAGGTCGGACTAAATTCACATAAAAATGCACAATTTCCAGTATTCTCTGATGAAAAAACAATAGTGTGGCACAATGGTGTGGCTGTAGTATCACTCGTCGCGAGAGGGCGGTTCGAACGGCAGTTCTTGTGATACCTCTCGGTGTTTTAATTCTCTATTCAACACTGCTGGTTTATTTTTGAAAATTAGACCAGATGTTCCTGATATTCATTACAAGAATCTATAAACAAACCATGAATATCATAATTTGGATAAAAAATGAAATTAAAACTAATTTCAATTAGATAGATAGTCATTTATTTTCAAGTGATATAAAAACCCAATTACAAGAAATGCTAAATTCTGGTATATAAGCAGTAGTGTCCGACCGAAACCGAATTTCGGCAACGGTCTCAGTTTCGGCCGAAACTTCCTTAGAAAAGATTATGTTTTGAGGGAAAAATAAAGAAAACGTTATGATAATCAGTCACTCTTTATTTTTTTATCTTCAAATCACAACGTGATGCAGTCTTATGTACGTTGCACCTTAAATATATTCAAAATAGGTGAGGTGTTTATTTGAGTAGGTGTAGATTCTTGTTTTAAATATTATGGTTTTTCAAAAATATTAAACTACATATTTACATATTTATTATGTTTATTACATATTTAAGTTGTTACCTAATATCACAATAGGTAAAAACTGAATATTTATGTAATAAACAAATTAAATTACAAACTAAGTTACGACATGATTAGGCACGTGGACGCGGCAAAATGTCTGTCGCTTGTATGAAATTCAACGCGCCGAACATGACCGATCACAGCGCGAAAACTCCCGAATATAGTTTCGGTTTCGTTCGTAGTTTCGGCAGGTTTGCCGCCGAAACCGACATTAAACCGAAACCTGTTTTTTTGCCGAAACTCGACCGAAACTGAATTTTCGGTCGGACACTAATAAGCAGGCAAGAAAAATAATAAAATAATTGATTATTTTCAACAGAATTACGAATATGCAAGATAACTGTATATATATTCAAAGAGAAAGTACATGAAAAGAAATAATAAACACAAAGTACTACTTATGTTATCATTGTGATTGATATTTTACTCTCAAAATATGTATCGAATTCAGAAATTTCATTAGGTTTCTAGACTGATGAACATTTTTTTTTATATATTCAGGGATAAAACTGACCTACATATATCTTTTTTGTGCAGAAAAATATGTCACAGCTTTGATATATTTCATTAAAGTTTTGAGACATTACTACGACAATCAATCTTCGTAGGAGATTATTTCTATAGTTATTAAAAAAACTTTTATTGTCACAGGACACAGTACACAATTTTGGAATGAAAGTGTTAAATATATGAAATATTTTACATATCGTATTAGTAATACATTCGCGGAATAATAAAAAAAATTAAAAAAACAAATTTCAAGTAAGTATTTGATGGTTTGCAAACATACTAAACAGTTTTGGGATAAAAGTGTTGAATATCAGAAATATACATACCTATATCTTAACAAAAATATATTCATGAAATAAGAAACAAGTTTGAAATAAGTATTTGTTGCTTCGCAAAAATAATGTTTTTTATATAATTTTTGAATACATTCGAATGTGTTGAATATATGTCTATTTTCTGACATACTTGATTCAATTTATAGTACAATGCAAATAACTATGCAACACGAAATAGACATTTATTAACTATCCCAAAACATAAAACATCGACATTCAAAGAATCACTTGCATATAATGGCATAACATTATTCAATACGTTGCCTCAAGATATTAAAGATTTGCATATTATACCATTTAAAAAACAAATAAAGGATTCTCTGCCTGGGGTAGACATTTCTAGTTTGTAGATGACATATTTCATAAGCCGTCATTACCAGATAAGACAGCCCTATTCTAAACGAGATCTAGTGAATGAGTTGAAGAGAGTAATGAAACTTTCAATGTTTTTGAAACCATTACAATTTCTAAATATAAGCCCTAACATTCTTTTCATAGCAGTTACACTTTTCTCTATGTGAAGTGCGATTGAGAGTTTAGTATCAAAGAATACTTCCAAGTGTTTGCAGTTGTTTTTTACACGCGTTATATATTAGCTTTACCTGTATGTATATATATGTTTGTTAGTAACTCTCAAGCTCGGATCTGTATTTGACAGAATTAGTGACATTATTGCTTGATCTATTCGTGAGCAGATGGTGCTGTATGTAATGTTCTTGATATATCGACATTATTGCTTGATCTATTCGCGGGCAGATGGCGCTGTACGAAAATATCAATGGTCAATTTTTTAAACAACATACGACTGATTGATTACAAAGTTTAGATAAAATAAATATAGTTTAAAAAGACTATAAAACACGCTTTTATAGCATACGAAAATAAAAAATGGAGAATAAATATAGTTTAAAAAACTAAAAAACACGTTTTTAAAGAACATCCAACTAAAAAGCGGAAAATATTTTTTTAAATAAGTTCAAAACAATAACGAACGAAAAATACGAGTATTATTGTGAAAAAAGCGTGGGCGCTTTGTGTCATATTTTTTCTATATCAAGGGCCCGGCGCATTTTTCACAATAATTTTAGTATTTTTCGTTCGTTGTTTTGAGCCTATTCAAAAAATGTTTTAACTTTTCAGATCGATGTTCTTCAAAAGCGTGTTTTTTTATTTTTTCAAACGATATTTATTAGAATTGAATAATCATTTATCGTGGTATGTTTGTTATAAAAAGTGGTATATTTACATTTACTTGTATTTAGACGCCTTTTAGGTGACGAGTAATACCACACTATTGTTTTTTATTGAAGTATAGTTTGAAATCCTGTCCCGTTCGAAATTAAGAGAGCGAGGACTTTTTACGTCCACACTGTATAATCAATTTTATTATCATGTATGACTCAATATCGAAACTTACTTTTGCAGGTTTGAAAGTGGAATTTACGCGTACAAGACCATTTTCTCTGCTCTCAAAGAAATTGTCCACAATGAAGGAATAAAAGGAATGGCCAGAGGGTTGACACCTTCTTTGTTCAGAGATGCCCCATTTTCTGGTTTATACTTTATGTTTTATACGCAATCCAAACTTGCAGTCCCTAATGGTAAATATTTTAGAGAAGGAAAAGAAAGGTTTGACTTTCCACTTTTCCATCTTCATAAAAAAATGTGGGAATATTCTCACCACACGATAGCTACACAGTATGAAAGAGGTAAAATTCCACTTACATGGAACACTGTCATCCTCAATGACGGACATCCGATGTTTCGGAATAAGACACTTGCCATATTGCCTTCTCAGCACCGATCTGGATAAGATTACAAGAAAAAGCACTCAATTCATTCATAAAATTACGACTTTGTCACGAATGAGTTAAATCTACTCATGTCATCGATGACAGTACGTAATGACATTCATTCGCTTATTTGATTTAATCCCAGCCATAGGAATCTTGCTTAAATTGAAAGGGGTATATTTTTTGGAGAGTTTCATTTTTAGGAAAGAACGATTTTGGATTTTTATTTCTTCATTTTTATATAAAAAAAATGTGAGAATCTTCCAAAAAGACGTAATTTTATCAAGATTGGTGCTGAAGAGGCAAAAAGGCAGGTGATATTCCGAAACATCGGATGTCTGTCATTGAGGATGACAATGTCCCATGTAACTATAATTTTACCTCTTTTATATACCACATATTATAATGCAATCCTGTGAATTCAGTTCCATGAAGAATGTTTGGAGTAAAAACTGAATCGGAAAAAGTGTTTTTTGTATAATTCAGTGTTCATATGAAAGTAGTTGTTTTGAGAGGGCTTTTTTCCAGTTTGTGTTTGAAATGCATGACTTACACATCTTTGTGAAGGGTCAATTTTTGAAATTTATTGCTTTCTTCCTTCATTAGGAAGATTTCAAAAACTACATAAAAAATTACTATGGATCTTCATCAAGTAACGGCCGAATCAATAAGAAAATTTATTAGGAAGATTCCCAAATTTTTTTGTACAAAGATGGAGAAATAGAAAGCCGAAACCTTCCTTTCTCAAAAATTAAACTCCCTTAAACATATACCCCTTTCCATTTAAATTTTAGAAATATTTTTGTAATGGTGGCGAAGCATCTCAAAAGTGTTCTTTGAGGAATATTACATTCATAATAAGCTACCAGCTACCCAGTAACTGATGAAGCTACTGTGTTGCGAAACGTGTTTTAAATAAAATTTATTGTGAAAATTCTATAATCATTTTCATGGATACATTTTTAATAAAGTTTTCCAGTGGTTTTTATATTTTTTTACAGAATGGATGACATCTGTTTATGCCTCCCCCATTCATTTTTTATGTGCCTGCACTGCTAGCTTTCTTGCAACTTTAGTAACACAACCTCCCGACATCATCAAGACCAAGATGCAACTTCACCCAGAGAAATTTCCTGGAATTTGGCCTGCCATCAAGTACATCAAATTCCATTATGGCTTTGCAGGTTTTTTCAAAGGAATATTTCCAAGAATGCTACGGAGGGCTTTGGTTGCAGGAATTTCTTGGACTGTGTATGAAAGATTCACTTGAAGGATTGAAAACGGTCTAGTTTTGAGATGAAGCTAGGCTATTTCAGTTATAATTTTACAATAACATTCTAAAAACTGTGATTTATTGATGAGTTGATATAACGTTTATTTTTCCTATGCCTATTAAAAAGTAAAAAGTCGGGAATCGTGTCATTTCCAACTGTATTTTTGAGTGTATCAGAAAAGACCCTGTTAGGTATAAAACATATAGTATTTTATTCAACGAGCAAGAAATGTGGCCATTACTTGTGATAATGAAGTTAGTCGTAAATCATTCAAATGAGTAATACACATTTCTCACGAGTAGCATACTATAATTTTTCTGACTTATAACAGGAATATTTCAAAGTGAGATTCAGTTGTGAAGGATATCCCAAATGGGAGTTTTCTATTAACCAGCTCACATCCCCTCAAAATTTGTGCAAGCTAAGAAACAACAGGTCTTACGTTTTAAGTGAATGAGAATGAATATCTATAATATTTTGAACAATTCTCATGAACAAAATAATTTTTTGCTAATGAAATTAATAATAAAACTAGAACAGTTAAAAAACATAACAGATGATTTCGAGGATTTTATATCCACATTATTATTTCCATTACTGGTAGACCATTGTTGTTTCATTGAATTTAAGATGTTTTCTGCAGGAACATTTTGTGAGTGAAGCCTCATGAGGGGACACAGTCAAGAGCCCTACTCAACTCACAAGAAAAAGCAAAGGGAGCAAAATGAGAGGGTTTCGTAAAAGAATTTGAAAGTGTTCAATTTCATATATTTTGACACGTTTCACGAAAAGATGTACATTTTTTATTAGAAGTTGTCTATTCGATAAAAAAGGCATTAGTATTTCATTGAAGTTTGGTTAGAGTTCTATTCCTTACTGCCATTCCATGTTTAGCAACTATGATCGCACTTTGACTAGAATCATCAAGAGATAAAATCTCGGCAACGGTTCCATCGAAAGAAAAATCTACTCTACCATGCTACCGTCTTTAATTAACATTTCTTTAGCGATTAGTCCAAGTGACACGCATGCCACTAAAGCAGCTCCTTGTTCAGCAAATTTTTTATTTTTTTCCCTAAAACAAGCTTGAAAATAAATCAGAACTAACAACGGTACTTACAAAACTCACCAAAATGATGAGCTATATGTCTTTCCATCTAATAAAGCCACTGCCCTGAATAGTTTGTTTTCGTTAAAAATTGTGTACTTGGGCACTTTCAACTTTTTCTTTCCACAGTATGTTATCAGTCTTGATTTTGGCAGGTCCGGATCAGCGCTGTAGTTCACCCGAATGAAGGCACATTTCATTACGACATCTATTGGTTCACTATCATAGTCAGCTTTTCGTTTATTTCTTTTCGGGTCAAGAAAATCCGGAGTTATTTCTCTACGATTCAAAATGCCTTTAGAGTGGTATTCTAATTGCTTTTGGCGGCAATAATTTCCCAAATCCCAAATTTTGCTAAAAGTGTAACTTCATTATTCTCAACTACTGTAAATTATTTGATCGTATTGGCTTCAATCTGATGAGAAATATTTTTCACTATTATGGATTTTTTATGTGAGGCTACTCGTGTAAACCAAATGGAATAATTAATTTTTGGGAAAACAATTTGTGTTTAGAATTAGTTTCAGATTTTTGTGTTTGTGGTAATTTGAACAGATCAAAGTTCATTGGCTGATAATCTGTGAAAGGAAGCAGAATTCACACTAAAAAATGTGTAATATTGTAATATAAAATGAAATGTGGAAGGCAGGGTATCTATCTTATTCTGTTATCGCTGATTAAAGGTTTTAATGTTGTTACTTGATAGTTACTTTTTGAATTATACCTAGACTAATGTTAAATTTTGGATCTGAATAAAATCAAAGTCAAATTGATCTTCTGATTTGCATGGTATCTCATAGAGAAAGTGTCAATAACTTATCAACATTGTTTTTCAGAAGTTACCAGCACATTATACACAACTAAAGAAATCACTAAAATCATCTGCTACTCAATGTAGGACAGTCAAAAAAATTTATTCTGCAACTCCCTAAATTGCAGCAATGCCTCAACCACTGAGCACATTAAATATTTATTCATAACTTGTAAAATTGTTCTTAGTTTCCTAGGGACAAACGCCCTGATGCTAGAAAATCTTGGTTGTAAAGTCTAGGAGCTGGCAAAGTTGAAATTCTGCATTTTTCACTGCAATTCTATACAGAAATAATACTGTAAATTTACCATATTTGTTCCAGCGTTTGACATTCCAAAAATCTTTTTCCTCTAGGTGTCTCCTGTAACTCTTTCAACATATTTTGAACACAATATTTCGTGTTACTAGGGGAATTATCGTAATCCACAGCCAGTTTCAAATAGTCCTTTATAACATCTTCTAAATGTTTTAGGCCGTCTTTCCTAAATATTGAACAGTTGCCTTCAGCTGTCCTTGCGATCATAACACTACTGCTCCCACATTCTTCTTTGAATTTAAATATATCATTGTAATTTTCTATTTCTCTCGAACCTCCACTGAAAAATTATATTGGAAATGTTAGACAAGCACCCATATATTTTTTTTAATACTTCCTTACTTGGCTATGACAGGAATATCTAGGGATTCCGCAATTTTTTTAATGGTTTCACATCTGTTGGGATGTTGTGGTCTTTCTACTCTTGTTCTTCCATGGACAGCTATTGCTGATATTCCGGTCGATGCCAAATCTTTAACTAAATTTAAAGTATCATCAATACTTTCGAAAACCCTTATTTTACAAGTTACCGGAATGTTTATATTTTGTACTAGCGTTGACAGGATGCTTTTTGCCTTTTCTGGTTGGGTCAGGAGAGCTGCACCCATTCCACCTTTGAGAGAAAATTCTTTGGGGCAGCCCATGTTAATGTCAATAGCTGCTACATCGTTTTCTCTAAACAGTTGAAAATATTTCAATCAAAGCAGAAAATCTTTCAATCATAGCAGAAAACCTATTTATTTGAACTCACATCAATTTTGCTACTTTCAAGGCCCGTATAGGATCGCTAGTTCCTAATTGTACAACAACTCTGCTTCTTTCTTTTTCACATGTACGAAAAACCACAGTTCCATCACTGGAATCCAAATAATCAATTGTATCCAGAACATCTGAAACAATTATATATAATTTCTACACAAAAATGCAGATGATTTACTACCATTCACTCTTCGAAATGATTTTAAAAATTTCCAATCGACCAATTCTTCAGAATACACAATATCGGCACCATATTCTAAAGCAAGTAATCTCATTGGTAATGTACCAACCCTAACCATAGGGGCTAAAATTAATTTATTCTCAAAAGTTAAGCCTTTTGAATTTTGTGATATATTGTTCTTGTTTTCCACCATAATTCCAATTTATATCATTATATAGACTTTGAAATAGACTGAATAACTGATCAACCTCTCTTTCTTACAAAACTTTACCAACATCCTCTGTAACCTAACTTATGATTAGAAATATTTACAGTTCTTCTTCTTATAATGGTCGTTGCTGCCTCAGGCTCGTTTGACCTATTAACGTTCACAGTGAAATGCTAACGCTGTGGTAATATAACGTTGGTAGATGAATCACATAGCACTGAACAAGGTCTAATGAAATGTGGAAGACAGAAAAAGCAGTTTATTCCCCATTTCTACAATTTAATGAAATGTATTATTATTTTTATGACTGATATGTTGAAATTTCTGTAATAATGATTTCTAGAGTATATCTTTGACAGTATTTATTCGTCTACAATCACAGTGAGGGCTGGAAATCACTCCAATGTGATACAAAAGTGATTTACTTCATGAATATCCCGTATTCATACGAATTATACAGGAAATATATGTTCTGTTTTTAGAAATAATTTCCCAATGCCATGGCGCTTTAAGGAATTTTGAAAAGTTTTACAATCTACACAGAAAACGATTTGATCTTCACAAACTTCATTTTCAAAAATACCACATGTTTCGCTATCACAGTAGCTTTTTCGTAGTGAATAACATACTAGTATGTTATTCTGTGGTACTTTCCACGGTGTTCAGTGTGTCGCTGACAAGCGCAGGAAAATCGGAATACTCTTCTCGCGCAGACAGGCCTCTATCTTCTATGAAGTTTTTCCTTGGATGAAGCAAACAAACGACACAACACGAAGCCACCGCCTCCGCATATCCCTTCACTTTTATATACATTCCACTTGCGGATCACACAGTGAAAATATGCAATATGTAAAACATTATGACGTTATATCTGACGTTAACTGTTTGAGTGATGTAAATGAGAGAACGTCAATCTCTTCTCTTTTCAATGGCCATACCATAGTCATTATAACGTCACTGGTCCCTCATAACAGAGAGTCACAGATGTATGGAGTTGTGTCTTGTATCCGGCGATGTCATGCGTCTCTCTCTCTCTGTTTTTGGCTTTTGCTTCCATTCAGGCGCATTAAGCCATCTGTCATGTGTCTACGTTTGTATCTTCTTTCATTTGTAATATTATGCATTGTGTTGTTGATTTAAAATTTAAAAGACATGCGGTAGATGGGCCCACAATCCTTTGGGATACGAGAATTGGTAAAACCTTATTAATATTGAAATATGCAGCTCTCTATAGTTGTTGAAAAAATATTGAATTCACAAAAAGGAAATCATGAACGATTCCTCCCACTTATTTTCCAAATATCAGCAACTCTTGAGAGATCTCAAAAGCACTGTTGAAGGCTTGTTGGTGACTCAAGTGGCTAATGTCTGGTCCATCTATGGGGGGCTCAATAGACTCCACAATGCAGTCGAGAAAATATTTAAACATGGATGCAAAGGCTCAGGAAATGTAAGTGCTATTTGTTATATCTCCGATACACAAATGTTAATTTTCTTAGAGAATTGTTGAACTAAATAGTAGTTAAATACTACTTACTCTTCACATCTACATGTATTTATTGCCAGTCAGAGGTAACCTCAAGAGTAAGCAATACAACTTATTATGATCCTTCAACACGAAGGATATACCCCTAAATCAAATACAATAATAATGAAACATTTCAAACATATCATGAATATGTACATTAAGACAATTCTACAAATATTATTTAAAATAATAGTGTTTGAGTAGATAGAGTTTCACTGTACATTTGATAGCATGTAGACAGAGTTTTATATTCATCAGAGATTTTTTTTATAGTCTTGTTCTGAGGAGTTCTTTACTAACTTGGACGAACGAAACTGTGGTGGCCTTTTCAGGTTAGCACTTCTACTTGAATAATGGTGCAAATGTACGTCTCATCCTTATTTAGTTCAAGGGTAAAATTGTGTCTGTATTATCTTGCGTAAAAAGCCATAACTTTCATTTCATTGATATTTTTTATATGTATTTAGGAATTCTATTTATACACTGCAACTGACCTTGTCAATAGGGATTTCTTCTTTCGAGAATAGGTAAAGTATATCCTGATTCTGAAAAACTTTTTTTGTTACAGGAAAGGAGTTATTTCAATTTCATTCAAGGCTTGGAGTGGTTACAACCAGAAAGTGCAAAATCAATATTTTCCTTGGACTGTGAGTACCGTCCACATGTCCCGGCTCACTTCAAAGACAACAAACCTTCTACGTGGCTATATCGCAGCCTTGAAAATCATTCGTTATCCCAAAAGTTGTCTTGGCTGCTGTCAGACAAATCACATTTATCAAGCTGTTATCAGTCCTATGCGTACCTTTGTCAAGAACAGTTTGCTGAAGCAACTATCATATGTCTGAGAGCTGTGGAGCGTAATCAGGCCAGTCTTATGTCCGACATCAGCCCTTACTTATTCCTTCAGAAGACTCAAGAGTTTCGTAAACTCCATCGAAGGTGTTCATCTTTACCAGATAGTCGTTTGAAAAAAATTTACGAAGAAAAATCCAATATACGTAGAAGGCCAGCGCAAAATGTATCTGCTAAGGGACAGGCTAAAGAAGCTAATATTAAGGGCAAACTTAGACCTTGGCTCAGCATGCCTTCTTTGCAAGTTCCTACCTTTGATGTTGAAAGCAGGTATCACGTGAAGAGTAAAACAACTCCATCTACTCCAGTCCATCCAAAGAAGGTTGCCAAATTATCCCTGTATGCTTTTGAGGTAAGACATACAAATCTTTTTGTTGTATTGAAGACTTTCTGAAAACAGTACTTCAGTGTTTTTATTCAACGGATGAATATTTTCATTGCAAATCGTCATTCTTAATATTTCATCATTCAATTCTAAATTACCGAATGTAATCTTAGAAATTGATACCATCGCTTGGCACACATTTCGGTAAGTAAGTTACCCTCATCAGGGGATGATGGAGACGGGCTCAATCATCCTGATAATGCTAACTTAGTTAGCAAAACAAGTGTCGAGAGATAGTGTTTTTGTTCTGGTGTGAGAAAATTGTTTTCTTTAGAAAAAAAAATCTACTTTCAATTTAGTTCAAGTGTTCACTATACAGTAGCTCCCTCAGGCATTTTAATTATATATGATAGCTAGCGATGCTTTTTATGACTTTACCACTGATGTCATCAATACCTTCCGCTGGTTTTGATGTAGTTTTTTTATTAGGCAGATTACTTCTGTTGGTGTTGTTTTAGAAAGAAAGAAGCTCATGTGAAATGGGTCGATTTTCATGTGATAGTTGGGAATTGTATTATTATTGTGATTCTTTTCTATAAAATATTCATTTATTGAATTTGCCTTATATTCAATATGTAAGTTTTCATTATATTTGATAAGGGTTGATGTCTTTTGTTGGTGTTTCCAATTTTATTATAATTTCTTGAATGTATTATAGTTTGTGTATAGTTTGAGTTGTTTAATTCTTTCCATAGCCTGTTCATTTCACAGAACATATTGTGCGTATATTTAATGTATTTGGGAAGTTGATAGATACAATAATATTAGCAAAATTTTTCTCATAATTCATTGATATGTTGATTCTACCATCAATCTTTAGCTAACGCATCGATTTCCTCTACAAATATTGACTTTTGTTCAATATACTGTCATATTAATGTATTAATTTAAAACAGTTTATATGATTGTGACTGACCTTATGTATATTTTTGCATCAAAGTGGTTAATGAAACATTATTACTAGTATATTTCAAAAGCTTGATTACTACCTTTGTTCATTTTGAATGTGAATATGATGTAAATTGAATGAAAATATCTCATAAATATTGTACTGAAAAATACAAATTGATTAACATTGCCATTTTTTAAATTTTATTTTAGATTTTCGATTATCTTTCATTTCTTATGGGAGAAACTGATAATTACATAGTTTGAAATGTTAAAAATGGATTTCTGCATCAATAAGTTGAAAGAACAAAAAAACCATTGATTTAATATTCCTTTCTTTATCTCCTGATAAATTTGTTTATTACTATTAATTGAATGAAGTAGGATGATAACAGGCACAATATTGACCTGGAGGAATTATGAAAATGATAAATTAGTTCTAAATTTATATTGTGAATCGTTTCTTTACAAGTTATTCGTTTGGAATCTTTCAGATATGTATTGAATCCACTTATTTATCTAACATCATTAGTCAGATAATTATATCTGATATTGAACTTCAGTTAGTATACAGTTTGTAAGTGATTTTTACTCATGAAGTCATCGCTATTGTGAATGCAGGTTCGATCTCTGCTCTGGTACTTGTTGGTTAACTCATGACATGCTCTTTTGCCAGTGCCTCAGTAGGGTTGTTCAGTGTGTTCAATGTATATAATAGTAATAATAATTATTATCCAATAAATAAATACAAGTAGTGTCTGTGTTTTAATTGGATAGAATTTTGGATAGGCTGCACCTGCCGATTTTGTAAAAAATTGTGTGTACATACATTTTTTCACGTGTAGATTACGAATCAGAAGGAAAAAGTCGGTGCTCTCTGTTATTCCTAGAGTTGCAGCCCTCGAAAGTTCCAAAACTTTTCAGCCTTCTTTTTGCACAATACAAACTATTATTTAACCTTCTTCGACAGCTTTATTTTAATAATCAACATTTTTCGTTAAAAATATTGATTCAACAATGTATTTTACCTCTACTTGCACTGGTCTAAACTTTTGCCCATTGTAATTGAAAAAACTCATTTTGAAGTAAAGTATAAAGTTACGTACTTGGAAAATTATCAACCCTCATCAATGAAGAAAAGAGAAATGAAACTTTCTATGTCTTTTACCACTTTCATTTGTAACTAACGTTACTGCAGTTTCGTCCTATTAGGACCTTTTCAAACTGTTACAATAAACTAAGTTTATAAACTTAGTTTATTGTATAGGAGTAGATGAACAAAGATAGTTCTGTGACACAGCCAATTCAACTAACAGAAGCAAGGTGTAACGGTCGAAAACACACGCAAAACTATCGAAAACACAAGAAAAACGATCGAAGACGCACGCAAAACGTTTGAAAACACAAGAAATACGATCGAAGCAGCACGCGTTCGTGTTTGTTTTGAACGATTCGATCGTTTTTCTTATGTTTTCAATCGTTTTGTGTGAGTCTTCGATCGTTTTGCTTGCATCTTCGATCGTTTTAGTGTGTTTTTCGATCGTTTTGCGTGTGTTTTCGACCGTTATACCTTGCTTCTGTTAGTTGAATTGGCTGTGTCACAGAACTATCTTTGTTCATCTACTTATAAGTTTGAAAATGTCCGTATAGGACATTTATAAACTTAGTTTATTGTATAAGTTTGAAAATGTCAGTATAGGACGAAACTGCAGTAACGTTAGTTACAAATAAAAGAGATAAAAAACATAGAAAGTTTCTCATTTATCTTTTATTCATTATGATTTTCTACCATGTAGTAACGGCTACATACATCAATGTAACCCTCATTAATGTGGAAAATGTGGAATCTAGGCTTGCACTTTTAGTGCAACCTTTCTATAAGTATACAAGTCTGAGTGCAAGCCTAGATTTTTTTTAAACTTTTCTATAAGTATACAATTTTATTGGTCACTGTATTTGTTATGCTAGTAGCCACAAAAAGTTTGGTACACAAAAACAAACGCAGGTGAATTTAGTGTTTGGTTCTTACAACTACTTGAAACAATACCAACCTTTCTTCAGTAGAGAATTCCATATATTTTGATGATGATAAATAATTCAAGCATATCTGTATTTCACTTTATTTTAGACAACACGTTTTCAATCGTTTTAAAAATATATTCTGCTTTCCTCTTTTTATTAGATCTAATTGAATGTTGAACATAAGGTGAAATTTGTATCTCTCCTCGCCAAGTCTTCTTTACGACAATGTTTTTTCAGTCAGATTACATCACACTGGGTCCCAAGAAGAATATAACCCCTAAAACCATCTCAACGGAGACTCACAAGCTGAATCATATCCTCATAGACAATTTGGACATTGTAGAGCATACAGCAACCTCGAGCAGTTCTCAGAGTAGCGATACCTTAATTGAAGAATTGATATCCACCAAATCAATGCCTGCCAGCAGAAGTAAAACCAACTTGGGCTTCTCTCCTCCCAAATCAGTAATGGACTCTTTCCTGCCCATGCCCGGTGAGAAAGACTACACAAAGTTACCAAAGAAAACGTTCATAGAGGATGGAGGCATGAGCGTTCTACCCATGGCAACGGGGTGCTTTCCGAAACCTATGAAAGGGCAAAGCTTGCTCTCGTTCCTCACCTCTGGTCAGTTTGCTAGAGCTAACGCTGAGCTGGATAGAGAAAACGCACATTTCAGCATTTCGGAGGCCATCATTTCGGCGATGGAGCAAATTCGATGCAAGCAAAGTTTCAAGGTGGTGGACGAGCAAATAGACGAGAGCGATCCTGAAATTATGGACTTGAAGCAAAGAATAAGGCTCCGGAGGACTCAGAGAGCAATCGAAAAGCAAAGAAAGAATTGGGTGGCAGATTTTGCAAGTGAGAGTAAAACAGACAGTAAGTATTCAATCGAATATTTATTTTTTTATTTATTTAGTCTACCAATTTTATTTAATATACAAGATCTATTCAAAAAATTAGGTGAATGCTCAAATTTCGCATACTACATACATTCGATTGGCGATTTTTTTATTCTGGTACACTAAGAGAATGTGGAGAGTCATCAAAGGAGTATTATCTTATAGTTATGCGCCGCTTGCGAGAAGCAATACAAAGAAAACGTCCGGAATTGTGGAAAAACAATTCGTTACTTTTACATCACGATAATGTACCTGCCCACTCGTCATTACCAATATGCACAATACTGTAATCATGCCTCAGCCACCGTATTCACCAGATTTGGGCCCCTGCGACTTTTTCCTGTTCCCAAGGTGACGATTGAGGAAATAAGAACCGAATCGCTGAGAGAGCTCAAAGACATACCAAAAAGTGGTCGCCTCGGGTGCCCCAGCACATGAACAATCAATGAAAATGTTATCACTGATAGAGAAGTTGCTGATGGTGTTGGCATATTTGTGTGCAATTCGTCATTGCTTGTTCATAATTTTTTGGGCAAAAAGCACCGTAATTATGCCACAGCCACCGTATTTACCAGATTTGGCCCCTGCGACTTTTTCCTGTTCCCAAGATTGAAGAGATTCATGAAAAGATGGCGGAATAGACCTCATACTAGACAATAGGTCAGATTATTTAACTATTGGTTCTGAAATATCAATCAATTTTCAGTTGATGCTTTTACCTCACAAAGCTATTGGACATGTCACTTAAATGAAATTTAAATAGTACAATACAATAAACAACACACCATATGATAAACAAATATAAACGAAGAGGTCAAGGAGAAAAACTTGCAATTTTTTTTGATCACGTGATTTTTGTTTTTTAAATTTTCAGCAAGATTATAGTTTAATTCAAGTCCGATCATATTTGAAGACTTTTGAGAAACCATTAAACGAATATTTCATATATGAGAGATCCGCAGAATTATTGTATCTTCCTAGATATAGGTTAACAGTTTGCCTGAAAAATAATTTGAATTCAGATTTGTACAATCTTCTTCACCCTCTGATCTTCGGAGTTCAGAAGTTTTGAATGAACTCNTAGCTCCATAAGTAGGAATGAATTATTTTTCAAGAAATTCATACAATTTAACTCAACAGTTGAAGTTGTAAAAAATGAGTGAGTATTTCAGATGGATTCAATATGAATAAGCGATTGAGAAAGCTCCAATATCAAAGAAAATTGAGCGAAAGTTATTTTTTGTGTGGAGGTAATAGTCATCACCTTTTTTGGGCTTTTTTTTTCACCTTCCACAATCCGAAAAGTATGAAAATTGTAATGTCCTTATAGTGTACCTGTCAACAGAGTGGACCAATGTCATAGACATACCCTCGTCAGTCAGTCATTGCTGAGACTTTGGGATATAACCTTTATCTTCGTAGTAAACGCACATACAACTGATGATGTTTGCCGCTATAGCAGACGAAACTTTTGTTGCTACAAGTTCAATTTGACCCAGCCTACCAGTCCGGATTTTGTTTCCTCTAATCATTGAATGAAGTATCTACGTCATACTTTTTAATAACAATATAAGTTCTTTGGACGAAATCAATTATTTCATTTGAGAATTGAAAAGTTTTTGTGAAAAGAAACATTGATTTTCGAGTAATTTGATATCATCATTGAAGTATCATCAATGATCTTAATTCCAATTTTATTATTTGCACATTATAGCCATTCATTACCCAATTCATTTCCATTGCAGGTCTCAATGTGCTTAATTAGCATTGTTTTTTTTTTAAAAAACTGGATAAATTTTATTAAAACAACGATAAAAATAAAATAAAAACAACAATAAAAATTAATTGGTGCTCCGGGGTGACTTCATTGATTCCAGTGGCGCATTTCCTTTTTCAGCTGCAGGAAAAACCTGCCGCACCACCTCATCTGAAGATCTTGATCTACCAATGTCCTCTCTCTTATAAAACAAAATGTAGGGTGTCTCCAGAGGCTCAAATAGATTCAATGCATGGCCAGAACCCTTCGTGACACGACTATCGTCAAACTTAAACCAGTCCATTTTGTCTTTGACCAAGGCGTAATAATGACCAAATTCAACGCCAGAACCACAGTGAACAATGACCGCATGAACATCAGCATTGTTATATTTTTGAAATTCATACTCCTCATTTTTCTAAGTAACCCATCTGGATATTTCGTTTCTGGTTCTTCAATACTTTTAATATTTCATTCATATTTATATTATTTTTCTGCTCATCCCAAATGTTTGCGATTAATGAAATAATCATTTATATTAAAGGGAATAGCAAATACGCCAGAAAACGCCTCGTTTATTCAAAACGTCGTCCGTGATTCAAATACATTCATTTTGGCTTTGAAACGATGACTTCACATCAACTATGATTTGAATATTCATCATTATTCAAAACTAGCGTGAGGTTGATTTTGAAACGGAATTTGACATTACGTTACGTCAATTTCTGCTTTATTTTGATCGTTATAGTTTATAAGGTGCTGAAAACTTCATCAAATACGTTGTAAGGATGTACAAAATAAAGCTGGAAAAGTATTACTTGCACAAATCCGATTATAATTGACGTTAGAGAAAATTGAAAAGTTATGTTTTTATTGTTGAATTTGACATCTGACACAAATTGAATCATTCCATTCTGGCGAATCTTATAATTAATAACGTACATCTTGTCAAATCTACGAAGAGACTTGAGAATTTCTGCTCCCTCTCTTTCGCTAGTACGGTACTGACTAAAGTGAGAGAGAGTAGAAATTCTCAAGTCTTCCTAGATTTGACAAGCTGTACCCACGAATCGTTTTTGAATACACGCTCGAATACTATTAAACGCCAGAAAACAACTTAGATTATCAATGACATACTTTTTACCCCCAGTCGTTAATGCGTTTGCTTGCGCCTCTTTATCAAATATTAAATGTACGTTGGTTATAAAATATTCACACACCTTACCCCTTTGGCGTTCCACCTACTATTCAAGTTCAGCGGAAAGTATGAACTATATTCCACCATCATCAAAACAGAAAATGTTTGTTGAATCGCATACTACACACGAAAATATTTATTTCGTATATTTAAAGTGTTTCATTTATGATGGTTATACAGATAGATAAGAGTATTATTCAATCTCGAGAATACTAACAGGTAAAATCTCAACAGAATTAATAGTCATTGATTAATGTCAAAGAGGCATAATATAATAGTTGTCCGTTTGGCTCACCTATGGTTTGGCTTAGTGTTCTATTGTTCCATGGTACAGAACAGCAGTATATTTCTCATTGTCAATCTGCCTGTCACCCAACTCGAATGTTTCGTGATATGATTATTTGAAATTGACGTTTGATTGTTGTTCTATACTCTATTAAAATGTACTAGCACATTGTTTACTATGTACCAGATGAATATATAAATTGGATTATTAGGTCGCAGTTGATATATTTATATTCAAATCCTTAACAATTATATTACATCATGGCCGAAAAAGAAGAAAATAGTAAGCTAGATTGGATGTATAAGGTGCGTTTACAGTTCACATTCTTTAGAAAAATAGTTCAAACTTGTTTTCATTATGAAATATTTATTTTAGGGGGCAAAAAGTTTGATAGATCGTGAAGAGTATCTTCTAGGAAAAACTATAGATAAATCCCTAGAACAATTAAACAGTGAAGAAAGAGATAAACGATTAGGAGTTGTTCCTCCAAAGAATCATGTTGAACATGAATGTATACCACCCTCCATCAGGGATTTCAATAAAATCATACAAGCTGAACAGGTAACTATAAATACATTTCAGGAGTCTGGAATTGATAGAATCTAAGATTGATGTTGAAAAGATGTCTATTTCTAAATACCTACCTACATTCATAAATACTGGGACTAGAATGAGTATTTCGATTTTTTGTACTTTGTCACAGTTGAGCCAAAGTTCACATGTTGGTGAACAAATCGGTTTAAATTTTTTTTAAGATGTTGATTTTTGACTAACAAGATGATTTTCTTTTAGGTTGATTTATTTGCGAAGCTACAGGAAGATCCATTAGTGGCCATCAGGAAATTGGAGGAAGAAGCCAGAAGACAATTTCTTCAAAATCCAGTACAGCTGCAAAAACTTCAAGATGCTCTTAAATCTCAAGAGCTGGAAAAGAAGACCAAGAAACAAAAAAAATCTAAAAAGTATGACTGTGATGAACAACTGAGAAATAAGTTAAAACTGCTGAAAAATGGTCAGTTACCTATAAAATTACTTAAAAAAGAAAAGAATGAGAAGAAAAATGATAATTTGGATACCATTTTGATGCACAAATTCAATATGCTCAAGGACAAATTATCCCAAAAAGATCTTGATGATATTATGACAGGAAAGCTTAGTGATAGTGAAGAAGAATCCTCGAGCAAGAAATCAAAGAATCATGATGGTGCCAACAATAAAGAAAAGAGTCTCGATAAAGGGTATGAAAAAGGAAAAATCAAATCCAAATACTCTGATGACAAAAAAGGAAAAACTGCTTCAAAATATAAGAATGCGAGCGATGAAAGTGATGAACATGATAGAAAAAATGTCCAAAACAATAGTAAGCACAGGACTAGTTTGAAGTCTCAAAGGGAGAGAATTCGTGAAAGTACAAGCAGAAGCCCTAAAAGAAATGAAGAAATTGATGCAGAAAGTAATTCTTATCGGAAGAAAAATAGTGTCAGTAGGGAATCTAGGAAGAAACGTAATCATAGTAGTAGTAGTAGTGAAGATAGAAGTAGAAAGAAGGGTGGTTCAAAGTATACTCATGAGAGAACAAGTAGTAGTAGTAGTAGTGATGAAGAAAGTGATAGATCTACCAAAAGAAATGACAGGTCTAAGAAAAATAGAAATCGTAGTAGCAGTAAAGGGAGAATTAAAAGAAAGTCCAATAATAAAGATGTTTCAAAACATCCACGCAAGAGATCAAGCAGTAGTGATGAAGAGAGTGACCAGTTCCAAAGAAGAAAGAACAAGCCCGGTAGAGAACCCAGGAAAAAAAGGGATAGTAGTAACAGTAGTGAAGAGAGAGAAACAAGAAGACATATTTCAAAATATGGTCTCAAGAAAAATAACAATAGTAGTGATGAAGAAGAGAGCAACAATACTAAGAGCAACTCTATTAGAGAACGTGAAAAAAATCATAGCAGAGGAGAGAGAAAGAAAAAACAATATATTCATAAGAAAAATTATAGCAGTAGTAGCAACTCTGATGAAGATGATAGTTATATTGAAAAAAAGAGTAAGTCTTCCAGACGTAAAAGAAATCGAAGAAGCAGCAGCAGTGAACAAAATGATACTGATGAAGGGGATTCACGGTCCAATAGAAGGAAAGACAAGGAGAATGGGAGAGAAAGAAGCAAGGCCAGTAAAGAATCCAGAAATGTAAGAAACTCCAGTGGTAGAAGTAAATCTGGCTATCATGGCGATGACATCAACAAGAACAAATATGATGATAGAAAGCAGAAAAAGCAACGAAAAGAAATATCCGAGAATAGTGATTCTAGTGACAATGATAAGAATGCCACAGAAACAGCCAAAAATGTTGCAAAAGATGATGTAGGAAGTGATCTGGACCGTCTAATATTAGAAAAACTCAGGGTGCTGAGGGATTCTCAGCCTGTAGTCAGCAGTCACGAAGAAGCTAAACTGCAGCAGAATAACTCACATTCAGACAGTGAGGATGAAGACTATACTCCCAAAAAGAAGATATTTGGTTTGGTCAGGCCAGATGGCACAAAAATACCCCTCAACAGGACGTCTTATGAGGTAAAGACTGAACCTGTCAAGGAAGTACAAGTGATCAAGAAACCCGAAGTGAAGAAACCCAAAAGACTGACGGAAGAAGAAAAAGAGGAACTTCGGAAGCAAATGATGGCTGATGCCTCCAAAAGAGAAGTGGAACGTAGTGCAAATCTGAAAAGGTACAGGCAAGAGGAAGAAAGAGAACAACGGTTGTCAGATTTTGATAAGAATTTTGTACACAAGGAGTTATTGAAGTCTACCAAGAATGCTACAATGGAAAGTAGGTTGAAGTCGAATTTGAACAATATACAAAGGTCTTCACAGCACATGAATTCCAATTTTTCAAGGAGGTAAAATACCAATTGTTACCTAGTGGCAATCTTCGCTGAGTTGATAATTTTGTACAAATTGTATATTTTGTAAATAAATTGTAATGACCCAAAAACGACAGCTTTCTGCATTTCTCCTTTCAAAATTTTCGCCTTAGTACGGCAAGCTGGGGGAATGTTCCTCCTGACGAAAATCAAGTAGTTTTCATAAAAGAGCTCTAAAACAACGCATTTCAAACTTATTCTTTAAAAAATTATTTAAATACTTAAAAAAGAGGAATGAAATAATGCATTCAAGATTTAAAGGGATTCGTTTCTATTTCACCATTTGGCAACATCGGTTATAACTAATAAAGATAATGAATCTGTTACCTGTATGAGACAAACAAAGATGACATATTTCAGAGGCATGCTGTTCTGTTTACTTATGTTCCGAGTTCCGAGACATTCTGTGACATGGCATTTTGTGCACCTAACCTATCTTCCTCTATATAAATAAATAACAAAACAACTGTTGTTTATGTGGCTTGTGGAGGTGGTATTGAACTATAATTTATATTTTGCCTTAATTGTTGATTTATAAAGATAATTTTCCTTTTTTAAAGTAGAATATTTAGGTACGTATAAATTATTTCAACTTGATATAGGCGCTGTTGCCAATATGTGAATTAGTAACAAATCCCTTTAAAATTTAAAACCCAACATTTGAAACATCAATTTGAATACTTTTCGAAGTGAATTTGAAAAACTCATGAATTAAACTCAACTTTATTTTGTTCAAACTTGCATTTGCTGTAATAGCTCAAATTGAGGAACATTCCCCATTCCAATTTTCAGAACAACCATTTCAACAGAAAACAGAGGAGTTGTTCAAATGGAAAATCTCGACATTTTATCTGTTTGAACTCTTTTCAAAAGATATTTAATCCAGAACGGAGCCGAAAAGTCAAGAATAAATATCACCCTAGGTTGGTAGTTCAAGAGAAGTATATCATGCTTACTTGTATCAGCATGAGTAAATGAATAGTTCTAATGAATTCAGTACATCTCATTCCGTGAAGCGTAAGGTAACGCCAGTATCTCAAAAATACTGTGCAAAAATTGGCATTGTAGCATAAGCTGAGACTGCATTTGCTGGAAATACCGACAGCAAAAGCATAAAAGTCTCATTGTCGATTTTTTTTTTAAATGAAACTCAAAATGGTATAATATATACAAAGCGGGAACTGTGAGATAATCACCAACAATACTTTCCAACTAGCAAAACCTGCAATTCTTTACAAAATTCTTCTTCGAGTAAAAAAAGCTCCAATGAATTTTAGACCATAATAACACCAGATTTAATATGAATCACTGCTTTTATACCAAGCATTTTTGATAGAAAGAAACGGTATTCACACCAAAAATGAGTGGATATATACAGAGCTATCCAAATTTAAGTCAATGTATGGAATCTCGTAAACAGTAAGAATAAGACGGTAGATTAAATTGTGACAGTTGCCAGTTTTCAGACATCATTCAATGACGCCAAAAAATTGTCTCTAGCTCTTTTGGTCAGGAAGATGTAGTGGAAACTTTGTCGCAGGAACTTTCAATGAGCTATCAGCATATGTTCATAGAATTTTATACAGGATGACTTGAAATTTTAAATAGTGAAGTTTTTTTTTATTGGCAGTCTTCATATCATAGTTTTAATGAATCAACAAATTATTAATTTTTATTACCACCAAGGAGTGAAAGCTATATACTTCTATATATCAAACAACTGATTCCCAACAATTATTCATTGTGACTCCATCATTTATAAAAAATAATAATTTACCTGTTGATTTTCAAATTACCAAAACTATTAGAAATATCGGGATCAGTTTAACTTATCTGAATATCATAAGACCATTATTGAATAATAAATTGCTTCAAAAAATACAGATTCATATTCTAAAGTTCAAAGTTGATGGTGCCCCAATTTGGGATAACCTGTATGAAAATTCTATGAATATATTCTGGTAGCCTATAGAAAGTTCATTTGGTATAGTGGAAATAGAATTTTAATATCTCTGCTAATAGAAAAATATAATTTTGAAATTTTTGTTATTTTCCGCTCATCTTCAGAACTTAAAAAGCTAGAGTTGATGTTATGGTATCATCAAGTACTACTCTAAAATAGTAAAATGGCCACAATTTAGTACACTCTACTATTCACGATGCCCCCCTCGTAATACTACTGATAAAAAATAATGAAAATCAAGGTAAACCTAATATTTCACACCTGAAGCCTCCATATGTTTGGTGATAATTCAAACAGCGCCCACTATGTATACCTACATATAATTTAGCACTCTCTCTGATACTTGGTACAATCGCAATGAGTCTTCTCGAGATTGAGCTCGCACAAGTCCAGTCTGTTCTTGTTGCACCTGTCCGGATCTTCGGCGAAGGTGACGGTCTTGATTTTGCACTCCTGGGGCGGAATATCGGGTGGGCTGACCATTATCGGTTTAGGTTCCAATTGTCTTTGCGACTCTCGGCACAAATCCTGGTCCGAAGATGGCGGTTCTATGCACTCGACGGGATGAGAACCGTCGCAAATCGCTCGGTGGTCCTTCAAGACTCTGGTATAATGTTTGGCTATGATTTCTTCAGGGGTGTCTACGTGTTTGGGCGTGTAAGAAGTGTACTGTGCTGTAAAGTTGAAAAATATGTTCATAAAAATAGATACCCATAACCCGCTTCCGACTTTTAAAGTAGCTTGGCTGTGACAAAAAAAATTTAAACTTGAAGTTTCTGGCGCCCACGTTGGGCGCCAGAACATGGAAAATGTTAGTTGACATGGAAAATTGTAGTTTCAGAGTAGTTTTCCACTGCCGCGTAACTTTGACAATCTTTATTACACAAGTAATAATTCATCCAGTTCCATCAATTAAATGTTTTTTCTGAATAATTATTTATTTATTTATTTACGGACTTGCCATTATACAATGAACACATAGATAGTGTGATTGAAAAATAAACAATTGAATAATAATATAGAACACCAAAAAAGAAAAAAAAACAAATATCAATTAATTATTAATAATAATAATCAGCAGTTTCTTCATAGTAGGTTGATACGTTTAAACTGATTTTTAAAAGAGTACAAGGATGAGTCAAACAAATCAATATAGCTGCTACTCTTATTTGCTAAGAATGGTATTTGCTAGTAGAATGGTAAGGAACTTTAAACAACTCCCACACTCTGGTTCTTCTTGAATTTACATTGAAGTGAATCAATTGTGTTACAAATGGACAGTTCATATCACCATTTATGACTTTATGAAGAAGTCTTAGATCAATTTCAGGTCAGCGGTGCTCCAAAGTAGATAAATTCAAAATAAGCAGAATGTCTGAGTACTCATAGTTGGACCTCAGATAACCAAGCTTAAATGCACATGATCTCGGAAATTTGTTTTGTTCTTTCTCAATCATAGATATATCTGTCTGATATAGAGGACTCCATATCACGCAATTATTTTCCAAGACCGAGCGTGCCAAAGAAGAAAATTTATCTGCGGATCGTTGAACAAATCCCACTAATTTGAGTGATTTAGATGTAATGTGATCAATATGACCTTTAAAGGTTACTTTGCTATCAAACAACACTCCCAAGTCCCGAACGCTGTTAGGCAACGTTAGATTAATGTTTTTGATTTTATATAGATCTACACTAGGTTTCACAGCTCTTGAAAATTTTATTTGATAACATTTATTTATATTTAAATGAAGCATGTTTTCATCACACTTAGAAAAATAATTTGCAAAAAGATTAATACAATTGTTACTATTGCAAGTGGTATCCTCCAAATACATGGTTGATGGTAAGTTATATGATTTTCTTTTATTGTTTATATATTTCCAAAAGCTGCGAGAATCATTTGGAATAGCATTTTCGATTTTTTTAATGTAAGATTCGTAGCAATGCTTCTGAAGTTCTTTACATCTAATTCGGAGGTCAGCAAATTGATGGTTGCTCAATGCACCCTGTACTTTTGTATCTTTTATGAGATTTTTTCTTTTCTATTAATTGTTTTCTTAGTTCAAAATTATATTGTTTGTAACTTGTTCGATTGGGGATCTATTTATTTTGTAGAAATTCATATTGAATATAGACTAAAGAAAATAACTTTTGTCGGATTTCTACGTGAAGGAATTTTCAATTATCATCGACAGAACTGTTAAGAGTGCTTGAAATCAAAATATGATTGATAAATGTATGAGATAATCAATCTCTGGAGGAAATGAACCGCTACAACTTCCATTAAAAAGTAGATACTCTGTGTTATTCACATGAATATTAGGATACATAAAACGGAAATAAGTTGTACCACATTTACTTATCATATTGGCAATGGAAAATTCAATCATTTTCAATTCAGAAAATAATATTCAACCTAGAAATCAAGGCTCATTACGATTTAAATCTCTCTGCACTTCAAGCTTCTATGGTATTTCGTCTCGAATGGGCGAAAATTAGTGGAAATGAACCTAGAGAAAGATACGGTATTGTCAGATTATACAAGTTTATGCCAAACAATGAAATGAAAAGGTATAAGCATAAGTAGATGGGGTTGCAATAGGAAATCCACTCAGCCTGAAGAAAAATTCAAAGAAAAAATATTATCCCTTAAAAAATCTAGTCTACATTTTTCACTGTGCATGTGCAACAAACAGTGAATGTTCTGTTGAACTTCAATAAATAAAAATGAACCAACCTGCAGCTTCTTCGGTACACTTGGTGCTCTTGACGTCTCCGATATTGACCGGATAGGCGCATTCCATGTTCACCGGCTTCACGCCGTACGGTTGGATTTTCGATTTATGCTTCACAGATTCCTCGTACTCTTCGCGGATTCTGTCCATAGTATTCTTTTCGTATTCTGGATCGTAGCCTTCGTCGACTCCTTGTCGTTGGAGGCATTTCTCCATTTCAGTTTGACGTTGGCCATCCCCTAGATTCAAACTGAAATATCATTTTTGTGAAAGCACCAATCGTTTTCTTTCCAAATGAGGAGTTGTCTATGAGAATTTCATTCAGAACATTCAAATTATAATTCATAGGGATATTCATTTACGAGGTCGGTCGAAAAAATAAGGTGAATGGTCAAATTTCGCGGGCTACCAATATTCGATTCGCGATTTTTTTATGTTGGTACACTCGTATTGAACATATGTTCACAGTTTCAGCTGTTCAGCATGTTTAATTTATTGGTGAGACGCATAATAGTTATGAGTATTTTTCGTGTTCGGCCATTTTCTGCTATCGAAAAAAATGGATAAAAAAATTTGCATCAAATTTTTTATAAAAAAATGGAATCAAGTGTTCGAAAACACTTGAAATATTGACAGTGGCATACTCCGAATTAGAAAAATGTTTTCAAGTGGTACAAGTTTTTCACAGAAGGTTTGTTTAATAAATACAAATAAAACAGAACACAGAGTCACATGCTACAAATGCAATATGCAAATATACGGACGGCTCAAAAACCACATAAGGCTCAGAATGTGGAGTATACTTCAGATCACTAAGCCTAAGGATTAAGTGGGGAATGGGAAAAAATACCAGCATGGTTCAAACAGAACTGGCTGGTATCTCAATCGCAACAAAATAAATAACCAGGAAAGGAATTTCTGGCAAAAACATAACAATCTGCACTGATAGCAGACAAGCCCTATTAGCCTTGAACAGACAACGTGTTATAGATAGATAGATAGATAATTTATTTCACCATGTTACATAATAAAATGTTTGTAGCAAGTCAAAAAGTAGCAAAGTAATTTGTTAAACAATCAAAATATTATAAAAACAAACGAGAAACACAAATACAAAAATATAAAAACAAAAATTGGGTATGTATGTTGACATTATAAACATTTAAAATGAGTCACGTATTCTTCGACAGAGTAGAAGCAAAAACTCAAAAGATAATTTTTTATTGTTTTCTTGAATTTGGATATACTAAGAATTTTGAAACTATCGGGAAGATAGTTGTAGAGGTTGAAATTCAGTGTGTTTTTTTGTGATTTAGTCAAACGAAATTTGTTACAATGTCAGGTATCATAGTCATGAAGGTCTGATTGCTTGATTAATGAAGTTGATTTTTTATGAATTTCTATGAGAACGTTGTACAAAAATAATGTGGGTAACGGCATTATTCTCAATTTCAAAAACAGAGGTAGACAATGATCCCTATAACCAGAGTTAGTAATTATTCTGAGAGCTTTTCTCTGCAATTTAAAAATGTTTACAGCCCCAGTTGAGTTACCCCAGAGTAAACACCATAGCTAATGTGAGAATGGAAGAGGGAGAAATATGTTATTTTCAGTGTGTTATATTTCTCAACTGACGCAATAAAAAAAGAGTTCTAGATAATTTTTTACTCAATTGGTCAATATGACAGATCCAAGTGAGAGTACTATCGACAACTAACCCAAGTAATTTAACACTGTTTGCACTTGATGTAGCGGCAGAGCTTGTTGAAAACTGTAAGTGTTGCGTTTTATCTGTATTCAGTTTGAGTCGATTTGACACGAACCAACTTTCTGCCTTCTCATCGACTTCCTTTGATATTCTAGATAGTTCAATAGAATTTTTGTCAGAGTAAATAAATGTAGTGTCATCGGCAAACAACACAGATTCATATAGATGCATAAGTTACTAATGTCATTTATGTAAATTATGAACACAAGTCGTCCCAATACTGATCCTTGGGGAATACCATGTTTAACGAGTTTTGAATTCGAAATGCAATTATTGCTACAGACTGCTTGATATCTGTTTGATAGATATGATTTTATGAGGGATAAAGATATTCCCCTGACGCCATGGTAATATAGTTTTTCCAATAATATGTTGTGAAAGACGCAGTCGAACGCCTTAGAGAGGTCGCAGAGCGTAATAGCTGTGTGGTTACCTTGCTCGAGATTGTCGACTACTTCACTCACCACATTGAGAACTGCCTCTGCTGTAGAGCGGAACTTACGAAAACCAAACTGAGATTCGTTGAATAATTTATATTTAACAAATATGCGTAAAGACGTTGTTCAATAATCTTCTCAATTATTTTGCTGAAAATGGATATTATTGAAATGGGACGATAATTGTTAACAAGAGAAATGTCTCCGTTTTTAAACAAAGGGATAACTTTTGATAGCTTAAATGCATCAGGAAAAATACCACTTGTGAATATTACATTTATCAATTTAGAAAGAGGCTGCAACAATATCAGGGAGGTCTCTTTAATGATATCACTATTTAGTTCATAAGCGTCTAAGCATTTGGAATTTTTGAGTGAGCTAATTGCACTTTGAACGTCTTCTTTGGTCACTGGGCCCAGAAAAAAAAACTGCAAGGGGCTGGAAAATTTCAGAAATTCAGTAAACCCTCTTTGTATACCGTTGGTAGAGATTTAATGATATTGTCAGCAATATTAACAAAAAAGTCATTGAAATGTCAGGAGATATATCAGGACTCAGGGCTAGTCCTAGAGGGCCACCAAGATTTAGCCAAAGCCTCAGTAGATAATAACATTATCCTGAGGTGGGTTAAAGGACACGATAGGAGTAAAGGTAATCGCATTGCTGACTATCTAGCCAAGGAAGCTGCTGGACTAAGAATTTTAGGACCCAGTGGCACCTACGGCCTGATGACTTCGACAATTGTGGATCTAGTCAAACGTCACACCCATGCTCAATCCCTAAAGAGATGGGATGGAATCAACAGATGTACTCTTGCCAGGATCACCCTGGGCGACCCTGGGAAGCTGGCGTCGAAGAAATATCTGGCGATGACCAGGAAAAATCTACACTGTCAAGTCTATGGAAACACCTCCATAATATGGGGCTAGTGGACACACCTCTGTGCAGGATGTGTGAACAGGAAGATGAAACTGTCAGGCATGTCCTATGCGAGTTTCCGGAGTTATCGTCAATAAGAGAGTGTGTGTTCGGCGAATCTTGGCCTACACCTCCCGATATAAAGGAGATGTCTCCCAGTGACCTGTCCACCTTCCTGGAAAAGACAGGATGGACGATGTTCTAGCAGGACAACTCCTCGGGAGGATGTGCAACGGGTCACATGTGGCGTAAGTGCTGTGGGCCTACACTCACCCTTCCTACTCTACAGATAATGCAGTTTTTTCAGAAATTTTGGACATGAAGCGTATGGCAGCGAAGTTCGATCCAAAATTGCTGAATATTGAACAAAAAAATCGTCGCGTATCGCTCAGGAATTATTGAATGATGTCAATGTAGATCCAGATTTGCTTAAAAAGGTGACGAATTATGGGTATATGGTTATGACATCGACATCAAAGTCCTGTCGTCCCAATGGAAGAACCCAGGAGAGCCAAGACCAAAAAAAGCATGCCAAGTTCGATCAAATGTCAAAGTTTAGTCCACTGATTTCTTTGCTTACTGTGGCGTTCTTGCCATATGGCTGTAGGGTCGATTACGAAGTATTATCTTAAAGTTATGCACCGCTTGCAAGAATAAATATGAAGGAAACGTCCAGTATTGTGGAAAAACAATTCATGGCTTGTGCATCACGATAATGCACCTGCTCACTTGTCTCAGCCACCGTATTCACCAGATTTGGCTCCCTGCGACTTTTTCCTGCTCCCAAGATTGGAGAGACCCATGAATGGACTGCGTTTTGCAACGATTGAGGAGATGGAAACCGAATCGTTGAGTGAGCTAAAGGACATACCAAAAAGTGCATATCAGAACTGCTTTGAGAATTGGAAAAAAGCTGGCACAAGTGTATTATATTTGAGAGGGGCCGCTTTGAAGGTGACAAAATACAAATTGATGAATAAATTAATATTTTTTTAAGAAAAATGAAAATTCACCTCATTTTTTGAACAGATCTCATAATATGTGAAATTTTAGTAAGTTACTGACCACTCCAAATACATACCTTTGGTATCAAGATCCCATTGTCTTTCAGTTTCGAGATTATCCTTCACTTGATCTTCGACGTCATCCTTGAGGTAGCCCTTGTTGAACATGTAATTTCTTATGGACTGTATTACTTCACAAGGGAACTTGTTCGAATTTGCAGTCATGTAACGGTACACATACAAATCCGCTCCGATTATTTTGAATCTTTGTTGGAATACCGTTATAATGGCTCCTATGTAGAAGTCTGCCGGAGTGTAATAGTCAGGGTTGAGGGGGTCAGAACCTGAAAAATTCACCAATGTCATGAATACCGTTTGAAATAGTGGTCATGTCCCCATGGATTGGGCTACCTATCGGGCGCGTCCCCAGGTGGCGGATAGGGGAACGGCTAGGGGACTGGAGGCCCGGTCCGGGAAGCCAATATGGCCTTACGGTCGGGGTCGCCGGACTTCTGGTCAGTGGCAAAAATAAGTAGGTTGAGGGGAACCCCAAAAGCCTTTGCAAAACATGCCACCGTGGACCAGCCTACCTAGGCTAAGGTGTAAGGAATCGTGCCGATAGTTAAATAGCCCCAGGGTGATATGCGGTCACGAACGATCCCCTTGGGGAACTGGGCGAAACCTCATTGTAATCAGCTCACCTCTGGTAATGCGGAGTCCCGCCAGAGGTGACCAACTCTTCCCTTGCTACTCGCGGAAACAACAAAACCAATCCCGAGGCTGGACAGAAGTGCTCATCTCAATCTAAGGCGGTGGCTGGAGATGAAAGGAAATGTCCACCCCAATCTACCGCTTGGAATGAGGCTGGACATAGCAGACCACCTTCAACAGCAAGGGCACTTTCTGCGGTGGGCGCCAAGAACTCCACCTGAATAAAGGCAAGGAACCAGCTGCTCCTGCAGGGTGCACTTGTGCACCTCCACGGAGGGAACCCCAAGAAGGTTGAAGAAGCCGCGCAACGACAGTAATAACGCTGCAACTTCCAAAACCTTCGCGGAGGCCACCGTGAGACACCTCAAGTTTGCCAAAGAGAGTGTGTGTTCGGCAAGTTTTGGCCTACACCTGCCAATA